TCAAATACGATTCAAGCTCATGAGCCAGCTTGCGGTCTTAAGGGGGGCCAGCTTGTCTCATAATGAAATTGTCACCAACTCTAAGTTGAAGTCGTGAACTTGTTGTCATCGAATCTAGAGAATACCCATATTGCCATAAATGTTTTCTTCTATGGGGTTTGCGAGCATGAAAAGCGTGATAGCATGAATTGATAGTCACTTAGAGGTGCCACTGTGTCAGGGTGTCCGCATTCCGCAGCAGCATCGCATCAACCCTCTACTAGGTACGAGGAACACCGTAGCATAGGCTTTGAATCCAGATCTAATGATCGGCAATGATCATCAGGGCAAGAATCAACATGGCGGGCTAAGGTACGATGGGATCGCTATATTGGGATTCGCTACTCAGTCTTCGTGTATTAGTGTTTACAATTTCCATGGTCTCTTGGTAGAACTTGGGCGTTGTAGTGTCGGTCTAATTCCATTAATGGCCTAGGTCAGAATTAATCTTAATGAAGGGGTGCTCGACATGTGCAGGAAGGAAATGCCGGCCAGTAAGAGCTGGTCCTTCTAGGTCTGTCTCGTATCTGCTTTTACTTTTGTTCGGCTGTGCCACGTGGATTCTTGAGGTGTGTTGAACCACAGCGAATTTCCCGTTTTCCTGATTTCCAGTCATTTGAAAGGAAGCCATTTAAGAGTAAATTGGCTTCAAGAACGAAAGGCTCTTGCTACTTCTTTCGATACTGGCTATAATTAAGATCATAGCCCATCTTATCTACCCAGACTTCATACTAACCACTTGATATTAATGGTAAGGTAATCACTTTATCTCGACTAAGTACTAGGAACCATAAATTTTGACAACTTTCCAAAGTGAGTAGGTTGAATTTGATAGTATTTACTTAAGTATCTGTCTTAGCGCAATGTTATCATCGTGGTTCGCGACCAGCTATGTGTTCTCTCAAGCTTCCTTCGTTGTGTACTAATTACTTCCTCGGCGAAACGTCGACTTATTGTTCAATTATTCTTGACTATGAATTCTCAAAGTGGTGACTCCCATTTCCATACCTAGTATCACTTAGTGAGAACCAAAGTCTTCGGCAATAAAATGCTGCTTTCTCTACCAATCACTGTTGGAAAATAAAAGTCCATGACGCGTGCGATATGGTCCCAAGATACGGGACCTCCTGTTACGGAACTAGGCCTATCTTCGCGGCCAGGACATTAGAGTGACAATGTAAGATAAGCAATGTGCATAGAAGCAATCCTTCTGATAAGAGCTCACTCTGCATCGCTTATCTGCACAAGCGACATCTCGTATTACCCCGCGGTGTTGAAGAACAACAATTCTCAGGAGGCCGTCATTGGAATACCGACACTGCGGTTCTCTTGAACACAGCTGGCCAGTCCAGTATCATCGAAGACGAATTTTCGTTCTCCGTCGTGTCAAAATGAAGCAGTATCGGGACACATATGGCAGGAGCGAAGGGGATGTCGGGTATCACAACGACACTAGTCGGCCAGTGGTGTACGACGACCTTGACCCTTTTGGACATGAAGAAAATCATCAGGTGCGTGAAGTGTATTCGACTCACAATGGAACACTGATGAACTGACCATGAACTGCAGATCAAGTATAAAACTATGTCATGGAAGCTTGTCGCGGTGCTCATGATAGCCGAAATTGTCAGCAACGGCATGCTGTCTCTACCATCCTCCTTGGCGGTCGTCGGCATAGTCCCGGGAGTAATTCTCATCGTCTTTCTCGGCATCTTCGCGACTTACACGTCATGGCTGCTGGTCCAGTTCAAGCTGCGGCACCCAGAAGTCCATTCCATGGGCGACGCCGGCCAAATCCTCTTCGGGCGGCCCGGCCGAGAAATCCTTGTCTTCGGAACCGTCGTCTTCGCCGTCTTCGCGACAGGAGGGCAACTCCTTGCAGGCCAGATCGCCCTCGCGACGCTGAGTGACAACAAGCTGTGCCTGATGCTCTACACCGGCATCTTTGCCGTCCCCACCCTGCTGTTCAGCTTCCCGCGGACGATGGACCAGCTCTCCTGGCTCTGCATCCCCTCGGTCCTTTCGATCCTCGTCGCCGGCATCGTGGGCATGGTCGGCGCGGGTGTACACCCGGCCCCGGGCCGACAAGTCGACGTGGCCGTGTCATCCGACTTTTACACGGCCTTCATCGCCATCACGAATCCCGTCTTCGCGTACGCGGGCCATTTCATGTTCTTCATCCTCATGTCGGAGATGAGGCGGCCGCAGGAGGCGATGAAGGCGGCGTACACCCTCCAGGGCTTCGCGACGACGTTTTACGCCGTCTTTGCGGTCGTGTGTTATGTCTACCTCGGCAGCGAGGTCGCTTCGCCGGCGTTCAGCAGCTTGGAGCCGAAGTGGGCCAAGGCGGCGTACGGGATCGCGATACCCAACTTCTTACTTGCGGGTTCGCTGTATGCGCACACGGCGGCGAAGTTGATTTTTGTGCGGATTTTCAGAAAGAGCCATCACTTGCATAGTCACACGGCTGTCGGGTGGGGAACATGGGCCATTTTGGTTGTGATCATGAACGGCGCGGCATTTGTGCTCGCGGTGGGTGTTCCGATTTTCAATTATCTTATTGGAATCGCGGCGAGCTTGTTCGCGGCGTGGTACACGTATGGGATCGCGGGTGCGTTTTGGCTGCATGATAACTATCACGACTATGATGGATGGAGGCAGTGGGCGCGCAAGTGGTTTCAAGCCTTCGTGGCGGTGCTGACGCTTGCTGCTGGTGGCTTTATCTGTGTTGCTGGGACGTATGTCACTGTGAAGGGCATCGTTGAGGCATATGAGTCTGGTGCCGTGGGGGAGCCTTTCAGTTGTTAGACTTTGGGGGTTGACTCTGGCGAAGAGTTGCGAAATCAAGGCACTTTTCTCGATGGGAAACCAAATGCAATAAGGTAAATCCAAAGCCTGCCCAAAATTTCCGTTTTTCCAAGTCGGTGTCTTGGATATCGCGACCCCTGTGATACCTATGTCTCTAACTCTGAGGCTGATACCGTCGATCAGCAACATGTTGAGGGCACAAAGAATGTCACATGGCTAGGGTTGACAAGAATAGATCCGAGTTTTTAACGGGAACAGCCACACATCCTGTGTTCTGGCGGGAACCGTTGTTGGGTACATACTAAGTATAGTGATGCTACGCATGAGAGAGCTGCATCCGGCTTTCTCTCAGATTTCCAAGCCCGTAGAACTCAGCCACAGGACGCCAAATGTAGGTTCGTGACCGTTAATACTTGAACTGGGGTTTCTGAAAGCATGTGAAGCGCATAATAGTTAAGAATCTATACTACCTGAATGTGTTGGCGGCAGGCAATGGTGTTGGACTGAACATGATGACCTGATGATAGCAGTGTCAGTACGTACTTGTGTTCGGGACGGGGAAAAGGGACAAGGATCTTCCTGAATGACGTCAAGCTCGGCGCTGGAGACCGCATTTGTTCCGGTCTCCGCTTCCTCTCGCTGGCCTCCACCTGTGGACCTCCCTTGCTCTCTCTTGAGATCCTGAGCCTAGACTCACTCCTATTCGCAGTCTATCATATCCTTCCTGAGTGATGGCCGCTTTCAAAAGGTGTGTCGGTGTGTGGTGTGCCATCCGCTGATATGTTTTCCTGAACGTCTATCGAATCAGACAAGACACGCGACACTCGCCAGCCAGCAAATCAGCAAGCAAACCAGGCCGGAAGCCGTCGTGCAAGGCTTCAGTCCCCTGTGTTTCACTGGTTCCTGTCTTGGAATCTCGATGGAACCGACTCTCAGTCCCCTTTCTGGATGCTAAAAGAGGGCGCCCAGCGTTGCATTCATACAGCGTCCGGGTTGCAAACATGGCCTGCCGATGATGACTGGTGAAGTCATCGCGGCCAACCGCACCCAAGTGGGCACTCCATCGCCGCCAGCGCGCCAACGCGGTTGGTTCCTGGATTGGACCCAGCACCGACTGGCGTGCCCAGCCCTTCCAAGTTTTGGCTCGCCTGCTTTTTCACGCTCTTCTCCCCGTTGCGCCGGTGCTAGCCACGATCCGCCCCCTCTTCGCTTGTCGAGACGGCTCTTACCACCACCGGGAGGCGAGGGTCTTTGATGGAAACGGTATGATAGTGTGGCGTTCTCGTTGAGGACTTCCAGTTCGTCCACGACCTTCAGCACACAGACTGGGCAGCTCCAAAGCTCCACGCCTCATCACGGCCACACCCTCCCTCCCTCTTTGGGCCCGGCAGCTGTCTGCCAGCACCGCGTCCATCGACCGGTTGAATGTGTGGTGCTACTTTAGGCGCTATCTACTCGTGGCAGAGGATGAAAGCTCGCCCCCCGCGTTTTCGATTTCTTGGATTCAGGGCCAGGCCAAACCTCAGCCACGGATCCAACTTGTAGACCGAGATGGGGAACCACTACGTCTAGTTTTTCCCCTGGATTCTGATTCTAATTCTTATTCTTGTTTTTGTTTTTGTTCTTGTTTAAACTTATTTCTCAATTCTTTTATCCATCTTGTCACAGCCTCGTTGTCACATCACGAGCCAAGAGGACCATATTCTGAACCTCAAAACGTAGCCCTCATCTTTCAAGTCTGTCACTTCAGTCATCCATCGCGCAAATAGTAATAATCCTCTATCTCTCCCATACCTCAGTCCTTCTCCCTGCGAAAGGACTGACCTCACAAGCCCTGCCATCCCGCTCCTGTGCTTGCGGGCGATGTGACAATCCCTACCACCCAACTGCAGGTGGCGACATCATAGTGTGCCTCGAACCAACCAACCGCTGCCCGCACATCAGAGCCTCCCCGTCACTATCTGGCATCCCTGACGGAACGGCCTTTGCCAGTTGCCACGCCTCTTGCTCTCACGATGTCGTTCGTAAATCTCTCCCGTCCCCCTCTCGACCACCGCGCCCATAGCGACACGCACGTCCGACCCAGATTCAATTCGCAAAACACATCCGACCGTCTAAGAGAAGGTTCAGGTCTTCGACCCAAGGCATACCCAATGGTCAGCAATATCAAGAAGGGCAGAAAATCGGTATTCAAGGAGCTGGGACTGGACAACGACTTTAGCGACGATTGTGGTTCGCCCGTTGTGGAGACTTTCCAACAGTCTTGTGTCCGACAGGAATCGATGTCTAGCGAGAAGGAATTTGGAGATGTACCTGGGCTGGGGGAATCGAAACGCGACGGCACATCGAATGATGACGAAGACGACGCGGAGGACGATGGCGATGGGGACAGCAGGCGCTCCGAGACCGAACAGCGCGAAACGGCGGCCGACTCTAGACAGCGAAGCTCAAGTCAGGCTGTGAAGCTGTCTTGGTACAATAAGCTCTCCCAAGGTTATCGACGGCCGAGGATCAAGACGGTCTCTAGCGCGCCACCGCCCACGGTCTCAAGTCTGCAGCGGGTCGGCATGATTGCATTGCTCATCGCGGTCATCATCCCGGCATTCAGCTACAACAATGGCCGCCAGAAGATTGAGAGCGGTGCGGTCGCGGGTGTCGTGCGCCCACGAGCAACGACTTCGACGGATGTTTGCCTGAGATGGGCTCAGCAGGGTGAGTGTTAGTAATTGTAGCTTTGGTAACTCTGCTAACAGTAGTCAGCGGCTTTACTCAACGGAACCGTTTACATGTATGGAGGTCAATCCAAGACGGAGTCTTCACAGACCGTCAACACTTGGAGTACGACCAGCAAACCCCTTGGCTGAGACTACTTGAAGAATCTGACACATGTCCATAGACAACGACTTTCTCACTCTCGACCTTACGAAATCATGGGACACGAAATCGCCCTCCATCAAGGGCATGACGATACCCAACGGACCCCCAGCAGTCGCCAACGGCTACTTGTGGCACGACTACGACTACCTCTACCTCTACGGTGGCCAATTCGCCGACAACGACGGCGCCGAAGGCACGTATGCCACCGTTGCTCCCATGTCAATCTGGCGATACTCCGTTAAGGACAGCTCCTGGCTCGAGTTTAAGGATCCTCGCACGTCAGCTGGCAACTACTCAACGGCAGCCGATACCCCCGTCCAACGCTCCGCCGAAGGCGCCGGCTTGTCGGTACCCGAGCTCGGGCTGAGTTGGTACTTTGGCGGCCACCTCGACTGGCTAACCACCGAGGGCTGGTCAACCCAGACTCCGAGGGTGTACCTCAAGAGCCTGTTGGAGTTTACACACCCTGGGTACCTGAACACCGGTGTTGACGCGCTTCGCGCCGCGGGCGCTGCCGACGGCGGGGTGTTTCGTAACGTGACGGAGGGCGGGTTGCAGGAAACGGATGCGTTCCCGGAACGAGCTGACGGTGTCTTGGTTTTTGTGCCCGGGTGGGGTGCGAGGGGAGTCTTGATCGGCATGGCGGGAGGGTCCGACAAGACATTTGTCGACGACCTCGGCACCCTCGACGTGTATGACATCGCCACGTCTGAGTGGTATCATCAGAGGACAACTGGTGACAGGCCATCTGTGCGCGTCAACCCATGCGCCGCCATTGCTAGTGCACCAGATGCCTCGAGCTTCCAGATCTATTTCTTCGGTGGACAGAATCTGCAGCCGTTCGTAGGTCACCACTAGTACTGTGAGACAACTGGGTATGGACTAACACATCTATGCAGGGCAACCAAACACAGTACAACGATATGTACATCCTCTCCATCCCTGCCTTCGCCTGGATCAAAGTCGACGCAACCGACGGCGTCCCCGCCCCCCGCGCTGGCCACACCTGCACCATGCGCGACGGCCAAATCATCGTCGCCGGCGGCTACCTCGGCCCCGATGCCGGGTGCGAATCCCCTGGCGTCTTCGTCTTTGACGCGAGCAACCTCAAGTGGAATACGGGCTTCAAAGCCGGCTCCCACGCAGCGGACTTTAGCTCCGAGAACTCCGTCCTGGCCGGGTCCTACGGCTACAAGGTCCCCGGCAAAGTCCAGAGCGTCATCGGCGGCAGCTCCGAGGGCGGGGCTACCGCCACCACACCCGCAGCCGGCCCGGCTACGGGCGGTCCGTTCAAGACGGGTACGCCGCCTGTCTTCACTGTGACTCAGGGTGGCGCGACGGCTACTGTCACGGGCATGGGACCTACGAGTACTTCTGCGGGCCAAGCGCCGGCAAAGGATGATGGAGGCGGAACGAACCCTGGCCTCATCGCCGCGGGTGTCATCGCCGGTATCCTAGGCGCGTTAGCCATGTACCTCGGCTTCTGCGCGTGGCTTTACCGTCGCCAGGTCGCGGCATACAAGCAGCATCTGTCTCAGGTAAACCGTTATTCGGGTGCCAGCTCCATGCACTTTGGCGCCGCGGGTTTCTTCGGTGCTGGTGATCGTGAAGAGAGGAGGGAGCGCGGGCACCGCCGCGATGCGAGCACCGTCAGCGACGAGTCCTTCTCGTGGGTTGGCACCGGCGTCGAACCGAAGTGGATGACGGACGATCCTACACCAGGCTCTGGATCTGGCGGGACGGCGAGCGGAAGTGGTGCTGGCAGCGGGTTGAAGCGGAAGAGCGAGGACACGAGAACATTCAAGAGCGGGCCGAGTGGGACTGATCCGCGGACGAGCTCTAGTAGACGCGACAATACTGATAACGAGAGTGTTTCTAGCACGGAGCAGTTGCTTGATGGGCAGGAGCCGAGTTTCTTCTCGGTTGTCATGGGGCCCAGGCGTGCTTTGCGGGTTGTCAACAGTACCGAGTAATGAATAATACACGAATGGTTCACGAAAAAGTCTGAGGAGGGGGGATGAGGGCAGGAAAACACGAGATACACGGGGATAAACGAGGATACACGACTTTTCTATATATATGCGCACGATCAAGGGGAGGATGAACCCTCAATCGCTCAAGCTAGATACCCTTCATATTATGTACACGCTTCTTCTCTCGGACAAGACATGAAAAACTTTTACATACTTGTCTCCATCAAGATAACAAGGTCTGTCCCTCGGGAGTCGGCAGTCTGCGTTTCTTCCCTGACCGCCTCTCCCCCCAGAAACAAACGCAACGATCGTCGTCCCATGTTTCTCAGTTGACTTTTGGTCATGCCGCCCGTATGTCTTGGGCCTGTGGAACGTGCTCGCCGCCAATTTGTTGAATTGAGTTGATGGGTTTCAGAGCTAAACGTATTCGGACTGCAGAGTGCCAAAGACGCATGGCCCATCTGAGACAAAAACAACGACCATTGGCGGAGAGAACTGTGATCTTCCGAGACAGCGTGAGCTGTCGAACAAGATTTCTCAACAGTGAGGTAAGAGATCGCAGAAGCGCACATTAGTTTGGGTCGCACAGAGAGGGACGGGCCGGGTTGGTTGAGCTCGTACAAGCTCGTACTATCGAGCAACAAGATCGGAAAGAACACAGCCAGCTGATTGACTTTGTACAGAGTATCACTCTCCACGGTCCTCGAGTCGTGTCTCTCCACAGATTCAACCACGGTACGGAGCAAATGAGGATGCATTCCGGATGGCTTCTAGCTCGCGGCATAGTGGCATTCGGTCCTTTGACGCTTGTTTACTCGTCCCATTCGGGGGCCCGTGAATGAGGGAATTAGCTAGGAATTGGCTACTTCGAAATGCTGTGAGGAAACATTATTCAACGAAGTACATGGCCTAGACGGTATATTCAAAGTTTTGCGATGGAGCCCGCACTAAACCCCAAAGCATCTTTGACAATGGAGAAAATCTGTGGAGAGGTACGGGCAGTCCATTGACTCGTCGATTTCTCAATTTCTCAAGGGGCTCATTTCCCTATCAAACCTTGATTTCTTGATGCTTTTTCTGCCCACTGCTTTGCGTGATCAAAAGATATTTCTCGATCGTCTCTTCCACGCCAAGCCTGGACTGTTCTTCACCGGCGAGGACGGGTCTTCAGGTCAAGCCGCTCTCAAAAGACCTGTCACATTTCCAATCTCTTGACTCGTAGCCACCTGAACATCCGACATGGTCCTTATCGCGACATCGAAGGGCATGGCCGTTCCCCTTTAAAGGGTTACAACGACGTCCGTCACGTCATCGCGTATCCCCAGGGTCCTGACTCGACCCTGCTCCCCATTACAGCCAAATAAGCCCAGATAACCCTAATCAAAGCAACCCCCGGTAATACCGATGTGCCATAGGGATGAACTCTAAAGCGTAGCCCCGTCCCCGTTGTGAATTGTACCGCCGTCCACGGCGAGAGAGAGACGTCCCACTTCTGGGCCGACCGAGATCGATACGACTCTGTACCTCGAGCCTCGACGCGGGCGTTCGGGTTCTCCTGCACGAACTACCACTTTCGTCCGAGTCGACGATGCTTGATTGGGCACATCGTCGCAACTTCTCAACCACCCACACACACCACTCACTCTACTTGACGCTAATGTCGCGGGCCGGGCATCTCCTCCACACCAGACGGGCATCCCGGTGCGGTGTAAGGCGGTGCCTCTCTTCATTTTCGACGAGGATCTACAGCCGCTAGGCCTCATTCCAGATGTCTCACGAACATCGCATCATTCAGCTGCGGTGGAACGGAATTCCCAATCATTCCCACCCCGCGAAGAAGCGGAGGATGGATGGAGGGGGTTCATTTTTGTTTATAATGAGCGGCGGGGAACCTCTTCCTTCTTCAGAACTTTCTTGTTAGTCTCGTCAGTATAGTACGCTCGAACCCGCCAGTAATACCCAAAGCCTAGCTCTCGTTCATAGGCTTTCTCCCTCCACTCTCATTCTTTTAGCCTGCCATGAAGTTCTCTCTCGGCTCCCTCGTGCTCTCAGCAGCATCGAGCCTCGTTGTGGCCCTTCCCATCAACGATACCCAGGAGGTCTACGATGCCATCATCGTCGGCGGTGGCCCGTCTGGTCTCAGTGCCGCGAGTGCCCTCGGCCGTGTGCGCCGTAACACCCTCCTCATCGACTCTGGCGAGTACCGCAACGCGCCTACGAGACACATGCACGATGTCCTTGGCTTCGATGGTGAGTGTTTCTCATTCAAACACCTTCCATGTGCGTGTGAACAGTCTTTAACACAAAGCAGGCGTCACTCCCGCATGGTATCGCTACGCCGCCCGCGAGCAAATCTCACACTATGACAGTGTCACATTGACCAACGGCACCGTCACCAAGATTGGAGGCAGCGATGCCACCGGCTTTGTCGTCTCCGCCAACTACGCCGACAACTCGACCAAGACGGTCCGGGCGCGCAAGATCATCTTGGCCACCGGTCTGCAGGACGACCTTCCCGAGACCCCGGGTCTGTGGGAGAACTGGGGCAAGGGTATCTACTGGGTATGTCATCACGAGTCTTCATCTGTCTCACGCCCAACTTCGGTTCTAATATCTCATTCTAGTGCCCCTGGTGCGATGGCAACGAGCACGCAGACCAGGCCCTCGGCCTCCTCTCCTCAACCTTTGACGACCTCCCCTCCCTCGTCCGCGAGATCCTCACCCTTAACACTGACTTGATCGCCTTTGCAAACGGCACCGACACCCCCGCCGCCCGCGCCGAGACGGAGGCCAAGAACCCCAAGTTCCAAGAATACCTCGACCTCCACAACGTCACCATCGACAACCGCACCATCACGGCCATCACCCGCCTCAAGGACGGCGGCAACCCGCCCCACGACCCTTCCCTGCCCACCGCGCCCGAGGAGGACCTCTTCTCCGTCAGCTTCAGCGAGGGCGAGCCCGTCGAGCGCGCCGCCTTCTTCCTAAGCTACCCTGACGAGCAGCGCAGCACCATTGGCGCCGAGGCCGGCGTGCAGCTCTGGGGCGGTCGTCTGGCTGCTGATGTGAGCAAGGGGTACGCGACCAATGTCGCCGGCATCTACGCCATTGGCGATGCCAACTCGGACAACAGCACCAACGTCCCTCACGCGCTGTACACGGGCAAGAGAACCGCGGTTTTCCTGCACGTGAAGCTCGCCAAGGAGGACCAGGCCAAGGAGACTGGCGTCAACGTCACTGCTCTGAGGAGAGAGCTGGACCTTGAGGAGCGCTCCATCTGGGATGTCGCGAACGGTCAGCCTACCGACATTCTGTACGCCGGCGAGTACGACCAGTAAATAATCATCGGATGTGGACAAACACATCTCACCAAAAGCATTTTGATTTTTTCGCAACAGCGATACCAAAGATACCTAGATAGACATTGTTCAATCTTCAACTTCATTCACATGCTCTCATCCACGTTTGTTCGATCCGCCTCATCCATTTGTGCTCACTCCGCCTCATCCTCGATCTCAAGATTACCCACCCGAAACTTCTTGCCCTTCATATCCGCATAATCATTGTGATCATGATAATCTCTCACCCGCTCCCTCACATACTGCAGCCCCCTCACTAGCGCAGCCTCCTCCGCATTCTCCCCAACCAGCCCAAGCCTCTTGAGCAGCGGCGACGCCGCAGGCTTGATATCAACATCGTCACCAGGCCTCACAAAGTAGAACAACCCCTGCCGGAACAAATGAGCCTGGTCCTCAGGCGGTCTTAAGACGCGGTGCGTCGTCGACTTCAAATACCCGGCGGACCAGAAATCGAGCGTGTCGCCGACGTTGCATACGATGCCGTTGTCCACCGGCGGTACGTAGCGCCATCCGCCCGCGCCAGCACCCGACGAAGTCTTGATCTGGAGGCCCGCGACGTCCTGGCTCCAGAGGAGGGTGAGGGAGCCAAAGTCTGTGTGGGCGCGCGACCAGGTGTTGTTGACTTTGAGGTCGTCGGCGAGGGGACGGGGGTGGTAGCCCATGTAGCGGAGGTGGTCTTCGCTTGGGGAGGCGTAGGCGTGGCGGGAGGAGAAGTAGTCTTCTGGGAGCTCCAGAATGATGGAGAAGAGGGTGAAGACTTTGCTTGCGAGGTCGAGGGAGCGCTGTTTAGAGAAGGTCAGATTTGTGTGAGTGAGTGAGAGGCTAGTTGGCAGCCAAAGCCGTTACTTGTGTAGATGGGAATACGTACTCTTGAGAAGTCTTCGATCTCTTGTCGAAACGGCTCGAAGAATGGATGGAATGGTTCGTCTTCATAATTTGGGATGAATTCGGCAATGTTTACCGACTCAACGTTGTTGAGCACATCCGTTCCTTGCATCTTCTTGTCATGCGCCTAAGTTTTTCATGAGTTCCTATGCCATTGACCACACCGCAAATGCCGGCAGACTCACTGATCTGTACCCAAAGTAGTTCCCCTTGGAAAAATCGCACGTGTTACGCGGTCTGGCCTTATCTGGCTGGAGATGGGTAAGTCATCTTATCTCTAGAAATTACCGCGGGTGTCATTTAGTAACACGACGAAGCTCTTCATTCTTGAAGGGATTCCCGGCATCTTTTGCGGCATCTATACATTTTTCTTCCTACCAAATTGTGAGTCCTCTCTTGATACGAATCGCTCAAACAATCTCCCCTATTTAGCCTTGGAGTAATGCTGACACTAAACCAACCTCAGGCCCTGAGACCGTCGACTTCCTCACAGCGTCCGAAAGAGAGGCAATTCTATCTGACCTCCCAGAGCAGGCACCGACCATGAAGTCCAAGACAATTGACCTCCAACAAGTCAAGGGTCTTTTCTGCGATCCGACCTTTGTCCCATTCTTGATGATTTGGATTACCCACGGCATCGGCGGATGGGGCATCTCCTTTGTCCTACCGACTGTCATATATGAACTCGGCATCTCGAACACTGCTATTTCTCAGGTGATGACCATGGTAAATTTCAACATCCTCGTTGGCGTACTTCTGGAATCTGCTAACTGATACGAGAATAGCACCCTTTTACGCTGGTCTTCGTCATATTATTAACGCTGGCATTCTTTGTCCACACGAAGCGACTTAGTCCATGGGTCGCTGGCTTGGGCCTAGAAGCTGCCCAGATTGTCTGTTATGTGCTTTTAATCACAGTCAAGCATCCTATTGCCAAGTAAAGACCTTTACAAAGCGATCCATCAGATGCTTCGCAAGGCTAACTCTGGTGTTAGATACATATTCGTCATGATTGCAACCGCCGCATCTCAAAGCTTCTTCGCTATAATATGGCCAGGTACGTGACCGTGTGTCATTTCCAGCCAACAGTCCCTAGGGCCGACCTTTGCTAATAAACTCCTTTTGCAGAGCGCATTAGAGCCGCGAAGGGAACGACGAGTGCGGGCCTTGCCATTGGTGTGACCAACGTAAGAAAGCCCAAGCTCTTACAAAACTCGAAAGTTGAAGCTAACTAGTATCATTCCACAGGCATCGTGTCAGCTCATGGGAATTGTAGTAAGTGCAACCACTCCCAGCCGACACCTTGCTCCTCACTCGTATCTTCTGACGACTTTAAACAGGGTCCCCAGATATACCAGTCGATATTTGGCCCTACGTACCGGGTGAGCTACTCCTGCTCCATCGGTCTGCTCTGTGGAACGCTGTTGGCTGTTTCTGCTGCCTGGTTCTTCGTGGCTAGGCAGGACCGGAAGGAAACCAGCTGAAGCAGCTTATGGCGCTTCTCGTTCATGATATATCTCTGTCGGAACAGCAAGGCTGATAAGGAGCAATGGGCAGGTATCGTGGGCTGGCTGGCGCCTGCCCTGGGCGAAGTGGGACAACTGGCTTAGTCACCACGGCCGGTTAAGGTGGGGCAACCACCCAGGCCGTCACCACCTACTTCGATCGGCCCCTGCCCACAATGTAAATAGGAAGAAGAACAACAACAGCAATTATCACGGACATCGACGTGATTGTTGCCGAAGATACACCCTCATGAGGAAATGTATCACGCCTGTGATACCAACAATCTCTCTTCACGCTCCGCGGCCGTGCGTCTAGCCGTTTCAGAGTGCGAGCTTTCCTCACTTGGGAGCATGATGGCGCGGTCGAGTGAGTACGGCAACCCGCGGTGGCGGCCGCGGATCATCATGGCGCAGATGACGAGCTTGCTGAAGGTCGTGAACTCGCCGCTGAGGGAGGTCATGACCGACGGGTGTCTCAGGGACAACCCGACGTTGCCGCTGGAATTTAGTGAGCGATAAAAGACGGGGGTTAATACGGGTTTCGGGGTACTTGCTATGCGCTAACGACTTCGAAGAAGACTGGGAACACGGAGAACGCCTGATTGAGATCTATGTCAGTCATCGAGAGACCGGTCGGTTGATCTGGGTCGGTGATGGGAAGAACGAACCGGTTCGTTGAGGTCCATGATCCGCTCCGACTCTGCGATGCAGATGCAGAAAGTTCCCAAGAAGATGTACCACAGGTCAAAACTAAGTTGGTTGCGGACGTGAGACATGATGTACGATGTGCCGTTACTCTCGTCGAGCTGGCTGTCGTCACCATAAATGCCTAGCGCCTTCTCCTCATACGTGTTGGAAGCACGGATGCTGATGGCAATCGGGTAGATGGCAATGTACATCATGGATAAGAGACTGAACTGCACAGCCGGATTGACGAGTGAGAGGTTCAACGTCGCCGTACCCGTGTGTCGCGCCGACGCGGCCTGGAAGAGCGCGGATAGGATGCGCGGACCCATGGGCAGGTCGTTGACCGCCGCGTTGTCGAGGTCTAGGACGATGATGAGCAAGACGTCGATGAAGTTGAGGGCGAAGACTATGCCGAAGAGGATCCAGGTGGGCTTGCTGGGGAACAAAAGCGTGTAGCACCGTCTCGGGTGGTCGAGCAGGAAATGCAGATGTTCTCTGGTGGCTGAGGTACGAGATACGACTTGAGACATGATCCAGATGGCAAGGCGGAGGAAGACGGGGTAGCGAGTGTTTCCGGCCAAAGCGAGGAACGTCATGACGAGCATGGGCCATGTAGCGTCTCTGAAGCTTGCCATCGAGTCTGGCGTGAGCGTGAAGCCCAAGTTGTCGACCATGGTCTGGGACGAGTAGATGGCCCACCAGGTCCGGTCTTGCGCGCTCTGGGCCAGGACGTCCTTGTACTTGGACGGTGCGTTGTGTATCCACGGCACGAGGCACACGACTCCAAAAAGATGGAACTCGACGAGGTAGACTACCGTTGGATCAGCTAAATCTGTTTAGGGGACGAGGGGGGTTATTATGCAGGCGTGTACTAGATATGATCTTGAGCATGGACGAAGCAACCTTCTCAATGGAGATGGCCGCACGCATTGCAGGACCATTGACCTGATGCGGTCTGCGTCTTGACAAGCCCACCAATGAACGGCGAACGGGTCGAATTGCGTCAGTGTCTTTCCGCCATTTCAGCTCAACTACTTGATAGGGCGTCACAAGTGCCTACCATCAATCTCACTACGCCCAACAGGAATTTCAGTGATCGGCTGGCCTAGAGAAGGGCGGGTTTAGCTAGTGAAGGGTGAAGGAAGAGGCATGGCACATACCGTTGATGCGATCTATCGGACCAGGCACATGAAGCACAGTGGTATCCGCTCGACCAAGAGGCCTGGGTACTGGCAAACTGTCGTCGAAGGTAATGTTAGTCGGCCTGGATGGACGTTCGGGCTGCTCGTTCAATCCATGGAAGATTTGCTCTTTTGTTGGTGCGAGTGAGTCTGCTACTGGAGTAGAGTTCTCGTCCGGGTCACGAGGTGTTTGGTGCTGCGATGGAATCTCTGCTCCGCTGTCAAGCTTGCTTTCCGATACTTCATTGGCCTCTACATCTTGGTCACCATATCTTCCAAGTGTAGAAGGAGCTTCGAGGCACTGTTAGCTCAGATGAAATTGAGGAGTGCTCTTCATGAGCTTACCGATGTCGTGAAGGCGCTGCCGGAACCAGTACAGACGTGCTACGACGACCACAATGTTGACAAACATCAAGTTGGTGATGATAGGGATCACGTAGATATACACCTGCTGATATGTCTTCAAATCCTTCACATCAACGTTGTGACATCATCGAATTGTCAGCTATTGATCGCGACTTCAAAACGCAAGGGAGTGAGTGCATGCGCCTACGTACGTGTTCAAACCGGACTCTGTTGACGAACTGCAGCTGAAGAAGAAGGCGTCCACGGCGGCCAAGTTGCCGTACGGATACAGAATCACCCATGATAGGAGACTACAAAACAGAATCCACGTATCTATGAACATTCGAGGGACCCCAGTCAGTGTGATTCGACCATTAACATCAACACCAACGACGTCGGTGCCGCAGTGGCCAGGCCAAGCAAGCCAAATTGAGGGCGAAAAGACCGAGAGCAAGGGCGCGACTTACAGTGAAGGGAGATGAAATTCAGCTTTGGCTTCCACATGTCAGCGGGCTACGGAGAGTTTCCTTAAAATGCGTATATGACAAATGATGCAGCACAGAAGGCGTCAGCGACAAAGTCTACAGCAAATATAAAGTTGAGTGAAGAATGAGGCAGCGCTCTGGATTCAAGGGGTCGGCATCGTTAAAAATGGCGCATGCTGACGGCGCGACCAACCACTTGACAGGTCACAGACGTTATCTCATTTCGCCAAGACCAGAGGCCGCCAGCTTTGCCAAGACGGTGCCCCGCTCAAAGCTTCAAAGATGGGGGGTGGTGCAGTTAATTACACAACAGAGCGATTCTCGACGCACGTGAAGCTCTAGGAGTAGACAGCATATCAGAATGAAGAATCTGAAATCGAATGAGCGGTTACAAAGATGTCATTTAGGTACTGTGCACGTTTACTTTAGTCTCTACCTCATTTCCAGATACATCAGCAAGCCTTTTCTTGCCTGTTTCTTAGGTACCCTACAGACCCAAGTGGGTGACAGAATGGGATGCCGCTCAATACCCTCCCTATCTCTCTTCCTACTATTCCTATTATCATTATTATTATTGTCTATATTAAACTCTATTAAACTTATCTAATATAGAATAAATATAAAATAGAAAATAAGTAACGTTAGGTATAATAATGATCGTTAAAATGTTAATAACAGGAAGAATAGAAATAGAGCTAGGTACTTCATGTTGTTGGGCGGCAAATCATTGTGTCACCCACTTGGGACCGTACAGAGTAATCACTACGCTTGCAGCACGCACATGCGGATGACTGAATTAAGCATATCGTCAAGTTTGAGACATTTCCGTTATTCCAGTAGTCGTTGAAGACGCTAGTAGATTTCACTTCAGTATCATCAAAAAGTGTCTCGTCACTCTTGGGATTTCAAGTGTAATTACCATCATTTTCTCTCGTTTGACCCTCAGTTGTTAATCTCGAGCTCAGGAGCATAATAAGGAGGTCTAATATTCCATTCTACACGGCCGATACATAATTCAATGACACACTGTCAGTTGATGAAACCTCATCGAGAAGGATCAGTTTGACTATCACATACCTCTTCGACCGAGTCCTTCATTACAAAGCGGATGGTCGTGACTTCTTGAGTCTGTCCCAGGCGGTGTAACGCTCTAGAAGATATGCTCTCGCGGCAGCAGTCAGAGTCAGCCTACAGATAATGCAGGGCCAGTGTGCTACTTTCGAAATCAGCATACGAAGATCTTACCCTGTAGCACCGTAACCCAAAGAAAGCAACATAACCCCTGAGGCCTGATTGTTTGGTATTAGAGGAACAATGAAGGAAAACTGGCAGCCACCTCGTGGATTTCTGGGTAGACTGCCCACTCCGGCATAGTCAGACCCTAGGAAATCTGTCAGACTGTCACCAGCATGAAGTCCAGATATCTGGATTCTGGCGGGATGCGGAATACATCTCCAGACTGGGTCTAAGATGTTAGACGAACATGACTAAAAGACAAAGTATCTCACACATCACGCAATCAGTTGAGAAGAGTATCTTGCGAGACAAAAATGTCATGTGCCATGTGTCTTCATTGGCTATCGTGCTCCCTTTCCAAGGAGTTCAATCTCAGTATTTGGCCCTCCATCGGGCAACGACCAACGACCAACCCCCCCACCGGATCCATTGATTCCATTCCATCTGTCATTTCAAACGAATTTTCAAGGCCGCATACCACCACGCCGCCGGCTATCATTCTTAGAAAAGCCTGATGAGACCTTCCCATCGCGAAAAAGAAAACAAAAAACACAATTCCGTTGCGGCTGTTGACCATCCGAAAGTGTTTCCCCTCCCTGATTCTTTTTTTGTTGATAGATCGTACACGCTCGAAGACCATACACTTGGGTAATGAGTAGAGAGAAGAAAGTTTCCCCTAGAAAGAGACCGCATGAATTATCCTTGCCACCTGCAGCTTATAACCATCTGCAGGCCCAAAGAGAGAGAGTCTTGTAAACAGCTAACGACGTGTTCGGGGGCACCGAGACCTTAGCCACCTCTCATACCGCCGTAATGACGGGGGTGAGATGGCCGACGACCACTACCATCCTAGTGATAGTTTCCGCCCCAACCGCCACGCTGCTGTTGCTGGCCGCCGCTGCCGTAGTATCCACTGCCGCCGTAAGCGCCCTGCTGGCCGTAGGAACCGAACGGAGCGCTGCCGTGCTGGCCGCCGGTAGCGCCTCCCATGCCGTATGCGCTGTTTCCGTGAAGGTTGTGGCCCTGGAGATGGCTGGGGTAACCGCCGTAGCCGCCCATCTGAGAAGCGGACTGGGGCGGGGGGAGACCAGTCTGGCCCGAGGGGGTGTTCGTGGCCGAGCCGGGGCGAGCGCCGCCGAGAGAAGGCGAGGGACCGGCACCAGGCTTGCTCTCGCCGAAAGGCTTCAAATCATCGTTAGCAGAAGCAGCGTTCGACTGAGCAGTGCTGTTAAATCCTTGTCCAGCAGGGCTCTGGAATGAAGAGGAGCCACGGCCAAAGGTGTCCTGAACACCGCCAAAGCCACTGCCGGCCAAGCCGGGCTGGTTGCCAGACTGAACAGAACCAGCGCGACCGCCGAAGTCACCTCCAAGTCCCGAGCTCAGACCGCTATCGGCGCGGTGCAGGGATGACTGGCCGAAGCCAGCAGCAGGAGACGAGGCGTGGTCGTAGGGGCCCTGGGGCGACATGCCGTATCCGGGGTGGCCGTATCCCTTGTTGCCGCCGTACGGAGCACCGCCGTATCCTCCTTGCTGGCCGTAGTGGTTGCCGTAGCCCATGTAGCTCGAGTAGTAAGCGTTGTTGTAGTAGGGGTGGTTGTTGTAGGGGTAGCTCTGTTGGCCGTGAGACTGAGGCTGCGAGGCCTGGCTGGCCGCCTGCTGGCTCTGAGCTGTGGGGTTCGGGGTGCTGTGTCCGCTGTTCTGGGCATCGTTCGTGACACCACCGTAGCGGGACTGGTTTTGCAGACCTCCGCTCTGAGGGTACTGGCTCAGATTATCAGCCTGCGAAGCATTGTAGCCACCGAAAGATCTCTGCTGGGAAGACAGGTTGTCCTGGTGGCCCTGAGCTCCCTGTTGGCCGTAAGGCTGGCTGTAGTAGTTGTAAGGGGGGCGGTTTTGTTGGTCCGCCGTATAGTAGGAGGAGTAGTCGCTGGGAGCAGAGCTGAAGGCTCCACCGGGTTGCTGGCTCTGCTGCGATTGCTGGTTGGAGAAGCTGTCGAACTGGCTCTGCGAGGCAGCGGGGTTGTTCGACTGGGTGAAAGGATCGATCGACTTTTGGGGGAAGGACGAGGGCTCCTGAGGGCCAGCCTGGCCGAAGCGGGAGTAAGGCTGAGTGGCAGCAGCGGCAGGTTGAGGGACTGAAGATTTTGTCAGTGTTTGTGAACAGGTAAAAGTGCGTGGTTTTGGCATAGAATGGGACATACCCTGAGCGGCGGGAGCCTGGGGAGCAGCGCTTGCGGGTCCTGAGAAGGGTGCATTAGCAAAGTCGGCGACGTTGCTAGCTGAAGCAAGTGTACCGGTAGGAGTGGCAGCAGCAGGAGGAGGCAGGCCAGGTGCAGGCTTCTGGGTACCGATGGCTTCGGGAACAGGAGCCTGCTGAGGAGCGGGAGGAAGAGAGGTTCGGGGGTGAGCAACGGGAGAATCAGCGGGGGGCTGGGTCCGGGTTTCGGGCTCTTCGCGATCACCGTCAATGTCATCATCCTCGTTCAAGCTGAAAGCACCGAACTGGACGGCAGCGCGGTCAACCTCGCGGTTGCCGGGCATGCGCACGGCCTCCTCCTGGTCAAGAACGCGACGCTGGTAGCTCGGGGTGCGGGATCCTCTCTCGGTGGTAGCCTTGATGGCGGAAGCGGCAAAGCCGCTGTTAGTAGTGGGAACAGCAGGACGGATGGGCTGGTGCTGCTGCTGGGAGGCAGACAGAGGTGTCGCGGTGGCGCTGGCAGCGTTGTGGCGAGGATCCCAGGAATCGGCGGCGGTGCTTGCGACGGTAGCAGTCGCGGGAGGATGCGATTCGTCGACTACCTGTTCAAGATTCGTCTCAGTAAGTTGGTCCTTGGAAGGCGGCAAAACCACTTCAGGTTCGATGACGGTTGGTACTTCTGCAGGAGCTGGTTCTTCATGGGCGGGTTCCACGGGGAGTTCGACGGGCGCGGCAGGCTCAGGCTGCGCCTCGGGTTCGGGCTCAGGTTCGGGTGTAGGTTCGGCAGCAGGGACGGCAGGAGGGAGGGGTTCGATGGGTTCGGTGGGCTTGGGCGCGGGATCCTCCTTGGGCGGCTTCGGGGCAACCTTGGGCACGGTGGATTGACGGAGCATGCTAGCCCACGTCTTGGGAGCGGCGGCAGCGGGCTTGGGCGCGTCGGTGGCAGCGGCGGCGGCCGCGGGAGTGGGAGCGGGAGCTGCAGGCTTCTCGATAATCTCCTTGGGGGCCCAGGGATCCTCGGCGGGTGCGTCCTTAACGTCCAACTTCGGGGTATCCCATGCGTTCGACTCCTCGGTGGGAATAGAGAGCGGCTGAGCGTTCTCCTTGTTGCGAGAGCCATTAGTAGCTACTGTGTTTGAGGCCCTGCCCCGGCCACCGCGACCTCCTCTATCAGCAGTTCTTCCGCGACCGCGACCAGCCTCTGAGACGTTGCGTCCGCCACGAGTGGGTCTGGCGTTGGATGAGTCGATGTTCGAGGCTGCGGTCGTAGAGTCCTTGGCCTTGGAGCGGGGAGCCTTCTTCGTGACTTCGCCCCATTGGGAGATGGTGCCTAGAAGCAAGAATATTTGATTAGCAGAGAGCACAAAAGCGATGAAGTTGAGCAGTCATTGAGGAGGGAGGCAGGGGAGTTGATGGATTGTCGATTCGTCGCGCGGGAGAGAGTTTGGTTCGTAGCCTGACGAGGCAGGAGCCGTGCGCCCACTTACCTTCAGCAATGCGGGTGACGGTGAGATTCTCGTCACCATCCGTCTCTTGAAGTGCGTAGAGAATATCCTGCTCAGACCAATCGGGGAAGAGCTCCTTGATGAGGGGTGCCTTGGATCCGTATTGCTTCTTCAGCTCGCCGAGCTCGCCTTGGTCCTCAAACGCATCGTCGGCATCAATCTTGGAGTCGCCATTGGGTCTGCCCGAGGTGCGACCACCCCGGCTGGCGAAACCACCTCTTCCACCGCGTGCAGAAGCTCTGCCGCGCGAGGCGGCAGGCCGAGTCTGTACCTCAGACATTGCTGGGTTTCTTTGTATGAGAGGAGGGGTTTTCCACGATGGGAAAATTGGAGGGAATCAATTATTCAGTCCCGTATCGACACGACAGCTTTGGTGGGGGTTTCTTCAGGTGCGGAACTCAGGCCGATGAAGAGGAAGAAAAAAAGGTAGGAAAAGAAAAGGGTGCCGCAAGGTGGGAGAGACGACTTCGTCGTGATCGTGGCTGACGAGACGAGACAAGTGAGGTTTGGGTAGTGGTGGATGTTGGTGGGAGAAAGGCGAGGTGTGGATGGTGGATGGATGTGGAATGTTTGTGCAGAGGCAGACGCAATTGCACTGGGGCACTGGGGGAAAAGTTCAAAGGGAGGTTTTTTGCCCAGGCGCCCAGCAGAGCAGCACACAACCAGGAAGCGCAAGAGCAACCGACCTTCAGGCAAGGTACCTGAGCAGGTACCTGGGTAGGTACCTGAGGTAGCGAGTGTCTGGCAGCTGGGGTCCCGTCAGATCGGCTGTGGCAGCTGGCCCAGGAAGCAGTAAGCAGCCTGAGAGGTCCAGTCACAGTTGGCAGCAGCAAGGCCCAGTTGGAGCACGGCCGCCTTAAGCTACCTACTTTAGAAGCTTAGGTAAGGCAAGGAAAGTACCATGGCACACAAGGTTCCCCGTCAACTTTCAAGCTGCCCTGGGCTGGGCCAGGGGACGAGAGTTGGGGTGAGAGGAGAGCTGGGAGGCAGGCACGCAGGTGAGATCTGGGGGTACGTACCAGCAGAGACCTCCACGAATTTTGGTGCTTGTTCTCTTTTTTTTTTTCTTGCGTTGCTTCCTTCTTCCTGGTGTTGCTTGCTGTGTTGCGTTGCCCCCATTTCTGATCCAGTCAGGCTAAGGTTTTTGGCCTGAGCGACCGGCTGCAGCGAATGACGCCCCCTTCAGTCCGCAAATGGTTAGCGCGTTGTGACTCTAGCGGGGCATGGCAGATCCACTGCCTCAATTGTCGGGCTGAGTGGCGTACCGATACCTAGCTGGACACAGCAAACACGTGAGCTCTTGAGTACGGAGGCTAGGGCCAAAAGTATTGTAGTATCGCAGGGGGCCCTGTCTATAGTGCCCCATTTTTAGACTTTTAAAGGCCTTATAGCCTCAGCTTTTAGGCTAATTTGGCCTTAGGCTAATTTTATTACATTAATTAAATTAAATTAATTACTATAATATATTAACGTGCATGATAAGTGAGGGGATTGGACAAGCGAGCGAATTGCTCAACAGCGACCGCCACATCTTTTTCTTTCCAACACATATCCATTCACCATAATATTATAGTTATCAAACAAAGAGGCTGGCATAATTTTAGCAGTTTAAGCTATCAAAAAAACACTAAATTTGAATATTAAAGGTGTAGCTCGGATCTACTTAATGCAATTTTTAACTTTATACGTCTATATTGATAAAAGAACTTTGCAACTTAAAACCGTACTAAACTTACGTAATTTGATATTGCTCAAATAGGATATACTAGTTAATGTTGAAAAGGTAAATCTTTTACCTTATTATTTGCCTTATTATTCATATTACGTAAGCTTATTATATATCATATTAATTTATAAGAGTTATAAATTAATATAAATACTAATTATGTAAGCAAGATTGGTTATGTAAGCTTACGTGAGCGAAAGAAGGCACTGGAAGGTAATAAAATGCACTGGAATTTACTTGAAAGGTATTACGTATTACGATTACGCATTCACTTACGTATATGCTACTAAGAGGTTAAAGGTAGGCAAAAAGGGAAAAGGTAAATAAGTTGAGGTACGAGTTGGGATAATCAGAGAATCGATTGTATTGATGATTATTCTATGATATGATAGGAAAGTGTAGTCTATATATAATACAAATATCACATGTAATCATATGTAATCACATGTAATTACATGTGGTGCTTAAGTCCGAGCATTTATTATTAAGTTTATACGGGCATATGTGCCTGTCGGCGCTTTAACATGTATATGTAAAGCATATTTACGTTCGGGCTGTACGTGCGTACAAAGCGTTGTATCTGAGTAGATACGTACTTCGGTTGAGTGTTACGAGAAGGTCAAGGCAACCAACTGTGGCACAAAGCAAAAGCTTCGATAATGATGACTCCGCATCATTTTCCCTTGTTCTGCGTTATGTGGCTACGCGCTCACAGTGACAAGTTGCGGCGGGCGTAGCATTGAGCCTCTTATTACCATGTAACTTCTTAAGTACGTAACTCTTATAGTACTAATCAAGTATAAGTTTTAGAATTTTAGTAAATATTCTAAGTATGCTTATTAATTATGATATAATTAATAAGCAATGAAATATTCTAGTCAGAGGATCTTATGCCTATATAAGGGCATCTTTTTACCTACTTAGACCTTTCGTTAAGCAAGCAACTTCTCATATAGTAATCTAACTATATACTCTCTTTACAGTTATCAACCTCTTTTATATACGCTTAACTACCCCTATATTCGTATATTCTTGCTTTTATATGAATATTCACCATTTAATACTCTTGTATAAGAGTCTTATCACTTACCTCTTAAAGCTATCGTGCTAGACTTATTATTAGATATAGCTATGTATAATTAAAAAATATATTTCTTAATATTAAAAAATTAATTTTATTATATTAATAATTAAAAATTGTAATAAAAAATTAAATATAAAAATAAATAACGTGGTTCATCAGTCAGCCGGCCGGACCAGTCAGCCGGACGTTTTTTCCCACGTACACAACAACATCTAGTATTTCTCAACCACAACGCATTAAATCAACTATTAGTTGTCGCTATCAGAATCTCCTGAGGGTTCGACATCTTTGGAACAGGTTCGCGCGTTATGCCCAGTCTCACCACACATACCACAGCGTCTCCGAGCTGGCTGGGCTCTCTTTGATGGACCCCCCTCGTCGTCCTCTTGAGGCGCTGGACGTTTACCTTTTTGTTTCTCTTCCAGCAAATCCTGAGATTCCTCTATACTAAGTGCCCCTCCAAGCTGCACACGTGACCTTTTGGCCCTCCGACGCTTAGCAAGTGCTACATTCGCATCCTCAAGGGTACGAAGCCGATCAGTCAAAATAGTGATTGAGTGCGCCATTGCCTGCGCACCCTTTGACAATTGCTCAACTGCAGCAATAATTGGTGTCGGTGAGCTTCCTTGATGAGCAGAGATGCGACTTTTGATAAAGTTGGACTGCGAGACGGTTTGTTGTGGGTTAGAGGGCGTTTGCGACTGCCAAGGTGGTGGTGTTGAAGGGTTGGCTATAGGAGGTGTACCGTAAATGCACATCAAGCTTTTTGATGACATGCTCTGGGTCCCATGGTGAAATTCCAGCGCCTTGGAAAGCAGACCTGATGTTTTCCTCATTAAAAACCTTATTATGGGCCTGGTGGAAGGCAATAAAGAACTCAGACTTGGTGATGTGATTTATGGAGGCTCTGATGAATAGGTTGATTTCATCACCGTATGCGCGTTTCAAAGGCGAATAAAGGGCAATATCCAATGGCTGTAGTAGATGCGATGAATGTGCAGGCATACTGGCCGTTATAATATTGTTCTGCTTGCAGTAATCGTCGAATTCGGCCGATAAATGGCTCTCATGGCCGTCGACAATGAGCATCCGGTAGACGCCCTTCGTTTGGTTCTTAGTATGTTTGTCGAAGTGTTTAATCCAGTCAAGACCCGTCTGATTATCCGTCCATCCATTAGCCGTGGGTTTGATGACCCAGTTGCCCGGAAAACCTGATTCCATGGTCCAACTGGCAAGGTGATATGCGCCCTTGATGATCACGAACGGAGGGATGCACCACCCGCCCGAATTGATACATTCAATGACTGTAGCCCATTCACGATTGCCAGGCTGGACAGACTTTGCTTTGCCGCGTCGATCGGCGCGTGTTACCACCATTGACGCGGTGATCATGCCCATCATGAAGCCAGTTTCGTCAAAATTGTATAGGTCCCCCTCTTGGATGCCATACTTGGCCATCATGTTGCGTAATAGCGCAAACCACTTTGATATAACCTGAGGATCTTCTTGAAGAGCCCTTTGATAATCGTATGGACGATTAAACTTGGTTTTCAGAGCAGGCTGCGAGTCCACAAACCGCCTGGCCCATCGCTTGCCAACAGGCTTGCCATTACGGGCTCGCAGCAGGAGATTGGCCATATCTTCGACACCGCTAAGGCGCAAAGGAAATCCTCTGGAATCCTGTTCAATAACGTATTGGAGAAGTGTTTTCTCTTCGATCGGATCGAGTTTACGTCGTTGGGGTTGAGCTTGTTCGCGTCGCGGTCGGTTGTTCATTCTATCGGCTAAGGTGCTCTTCGGGATACTGTAGGTCTTTGCGGCACGCGAAATGCTCAAGTTACCACCTGCAGCGCGCGTCGATCGGATCGCTTCAATTGCGAGAATGACTTTGTCTTCTTGGGTGTAGATTGGCATTATGGTTGTTGAGATTTTACGCGTCAAAGGTTTAAGTGGTTTGGACATAAGTGTGTTTAGAAAAAACGTCCGGCTGACTGGTCCGGCCGGCTGACTGATGAACCACGTTATAAATCTTTAATTAATAAGTTAGTTTTAATTAATTGATTAAGTTAGAAATTTCTAGATAATATAATTTCTTCTTAAACTCAAAGATTACATAGTAATAGGGCCCCCTACGGTACTCTAATACTTTTGGCCCTAGCCTCCGTACACGGACACGTTGGCGATAGCTTTGCCATCATCACGGTAAGTACCTAGGTACTTTTGTGCTCTTCTATTGCTACCTTAGGCGGTACCTGACTTGGGGACCTTCCCCTTAGCTGCCCTGCTGCTGCCTTACCTGCTAAAATACCTACCTAGGTCTTCATGTATCTCTTTCCATCTGTGGAGGAAGAAGATGAGGTAAGAAAGTAAAGCAGTCACGTCGAGTCTTGGACCTCAATGAAGGGATAGCTTGGCTCCAGCTCAGCTCACTTGGATACACCAAGACGGCAATTGCGATGAACGTTGGACAAGTGCATTAATTCGTAAACGACGAAAGCGACCAATGGAGGGCGCCTGACCAAGTTGTACTTACATACTGTTCAGTGACAACCAAGTGGTAACAAAGCAAAACCAGGCTGTGCCACAGCCGAGGCCAGGAATGTTACATGTCAGGAAGCTCCGAGTAGCTGTTTCTAGAAAAGCATTGTCATTTCCGTTCAACTCAATTCGCAGCACGAAATAGCATTCTCAACGTTGTTTGCTCTGCCCATCGGCGTCGGCCGAGATCCTCTGTGCGTCGGTTTCTTCGTCGGACTCTACTGCTGTATCATCCAGCTTCGCATCGCGTCGAGGTGTTGAGCTACATATGGATAAAAGATCGCTTTGTCGCGTCACTGCTATTGCCTCCCGTAACGGAGCCCCTCAAGCTCATATTTTGAAGGAAAAGACACCCCTGGTCGACCTGGGTCATACGTTCTCAGTCACGAGGCTGTATTCGTCACTCAGAACCACCCATGTTCAATGGCGAGCTGAAGCCTAGATGGAAGGTGATTGGTGTGACTTTCGAAGAATGGATAACCAGTCAAGTAGCCAAGCGAAATCTCGAGTAACAGTGGCTGACCGTAGGCGACCAAGCAAAACATTTGCTGCCTGAATCACAAACTCTAGAACTTTTCATACATACTCCATACACAGGACTTGCCCTCGTCAGCGAGCAAACAGCTTAGGTTCTCCATCATGCCTCCTAGCCACTCACGAAGACAGCCGAGAGCCCGCATTTTCCATACTTTCGGTACGTACCGGATCTCTTTTGAGCTTTGGTGTGTGGAGTGGAGGTCGAGGGCCTGGGTCTTCTGCCTCAGGTGTCAAGGGGACCAACTCCGCATTGCCCATGTCACATGACCCGTCAGTGGCATGACGGAGGCTCGGCTCAGCGGGCAACCTGACTTCATGGTACCACGATGATGCGTATCTGACCTACCTATTCGTACTTCCACCAGACATTCCCATCACCCCAGCACACCACCTCTCTCTGGGACCGCCAGTTCTGAGTGGAGAGACATTCACCCCGTTCTCCCGCACTTCCGGCGAACACCATCGACCACAACCCATTCTTGTCACAAAACCGCGAAAGGCCGTCTGCGCCGCCACAGCTATTCCGATACCTCGAATCCTACGATTCTCACAATGTTCGCCACAAAGCCTCTGAGCTCTATCAAAAATGCCATTCCCTCGATCCACCAGCCGCTACCCCTCTCATCAAAGCAGTCCAAGAAGCTGCTCAACGTCTTAAAGACTTCCTTCCGCAAGAATCTCGACAAAGAGCATGGCTTCGTCCCCGAGCCTACCGACTTGTCCGCGGCCAAAGCTACTACTTCCACACACCCTCCGTCTCGCCCAACCGATCAACATCTTCGTTCCATCCTCTCCAATCCACTATTCAAGATTGGCGCCCAGCTCGGCAATGTCCCTTCCACAAGTCCCAGTCCCAGAGATCCGATGGACGTCTTCGACGAGGCAGTATCGCGAGGCATGATGACGAATCGTGCTGCACAAGGCTGTCTGAAGGCAAAACGACTGCAGATCGTCCAATCCAGCACCCTATCAGAGGAAGACTCCATGGCGGCATCTGCAGCTGGTTTGCGGGTAGTTCAGTGGTTGAGATCATCTGGCCAGGAACGGAGGCTGGAGTTTCTCACAGACGTCCCATTTAGCCGTGAGCTCCTCGCGTTCATGGTTGCAGAGGGGCTGGAAGAGGTTGCGTGGACGTGGGCGGACCGATTAGTCCGCGGTGAAGGACCTGCGGACGGGACCGGTCAGATTGTGGGATTCTTGGTCGCCAACTTGGTGCGGGCAAAGTCAAGATTGGAAGACCGCAGCCTAGACACGGCATTTTCAACGATGCTAAGAGCAGAATCCACTTGGAAGGCGAACCCTCAACTTCCCCAGTTTCTCTGGCAACCCTTCCGCCACCTGTCCTGGGAAGCAACAGTCGATGCATGGAAGCGACCACTACCCTCTGCGCCGCTATACGAATCCTTTGCTAGAACTGCAAGTTACCAACGGCCTCTGATCAAAACTATCAGACTCGACGGTGCGCATTTGGAACTTCACCATCCCACTAATCCAGATCATACGACCGCCTTGGCTGTCCTCCGCTGGTTCCTGAATGATCGAGGCACGCTGGAAGGTGACGGCCGTCTGCCTAGAAGACTGAGGACAATGGGCATGGATATTGTCACTCATCTCACTAAGATCGGCCGGGCTGATAGTGCCGATACGGTTCTGCGCCTGTTGTACGATAACTCCGCAACCAATCCCTGGCAGCAGCCCGGGCCACTCAACGTGTGAGGAGTGTGCGCGAATTTTTCTTACAAAGCTCGCATCACTACAATTCCCCCACGCAGTCGGAATCCGTGTCGTCGCCGTCGTCTTGGAGGACGGACCACGCCATGCGCCAAGGTGTCCTCGTAGACTAGTCATTGGTCTGAAAACTACTCCTCGCGCAGGGCTGGCCCATTGCACAACTCAGCGCCAGGCTGTTATAAGCCGTCGAAGATTTGATGCTACCGGGCCTTTGAGAGTGGCTCGAAACACTTCAGACAGACAGATTGAAGCGGGATTGGAGACTACATCACTTCCTACAACTGCACGCCAATCAGCCTTGAGATATGTCGTGAACAACCTGCGACTCGATATGAGAAGGCTTATGGCCGCTGCTCGCAACCCCTTTTTTGGAACATAGCTTATGAGATACCCGCAAATGAACAATCATTTCAACCCCGTACATGCATGACATTTCGAAATGTAGTTTTGGCAATGACAATGACAAACATGGTCTAGATCCAGACATCAGATGCCCTGTTGACATGGGAGGCAAGTTTGCAAGTGTAACCAGACAGGCCCGAAGTACCCATGTCCACTTGCCCAGGTGCCAAGTACTGATTGAGGGATGAGATGAACTGTCTCTATTGGCTCGTGCCCGATCACCGTGCAATAGGTAGAATTAAAGGGAAGATGCAATGCATACATTAGTGCTTACGGGTCGATAAACTCAATTGATCGACTGCATGCATGTGGTTTGCTACGCGATAATCCTTTGATTGAACAACATCAACTCATTCCAATCATTAGATTAGACCTTGCCTCGAATGACTGCACAGTAACTCCACGAGAACGCCAAAGAGAAACAAGCCGCCCAACCACATCTTCCAAATCAATCGCGTGAAAGAAGTCCAATTTCCGGTTTGCCCTTCGGGCCTTCTGATCCTCCTTCTCATCTCCGTCGCCCCAGAGATGCAAATAGTTCCCTAGCCCAGTACTCAAGCCTTCTTCGCAACCTTCACAACAATTTTACCAGCCGCCGACCCCACCTTAAGCTTCTCATACGCCTTGACAGCATCCTCAAACTCGTACGTCGAATCAACCACAGTCTTCACCTTACCCTCCGCCATCCACGCCGCAATCTGCACCAAATCCGCGTGCGTATTCTTCGTCATGAACGCCTCAAACTTGTGCTTCGCGCCGCCGAGGAACCCAGGCAAGAACATGCTCGGCACAAGACTACTCACCTGCGCAAACGACACCGCCCCGCCCACAAACTTGTAGTGGCCGCCCTCGAGCAAGAAATCGTCCGAGGCCTTGTATAGGTTCGGCGGCGAGTTTCCGACATTGTCGACGACGACGGCAAAGATTTTGCCCTTTGCGCGGAGGGTCGAGACGACGTCGGCGGTCTTGTAGTCGATGATCTCGTCGGCGCCGAGGGATTTGCAGAGGGTTGCTTTGGCGGTGGAGCAGGAGACTGTCACGGTGCAGCCGAGGGCTTTGGCGATTTGGATGCCAAAGGTTCCTGTGCCGCCCGAGCCGCCGTTGATGAAGACGTGGTCGCCTGCTTTCACGTACGGCGCGATGGTCTGGTACGCCGTCAGGCCCGCCGTGCCCACCGCACCAGCCTGCTCCAGACTCTCCGCGGCGCCAGACCCGTGAGGCAAGGCGGCTACGCCGTCGCGCTCGGCGACGAGGTACTCGCTCAGGGAACCGTGGCTTCCCAAGGGGTCGACGCGGCCGGCGACGAGGTCGCCTGCTGCGATGTCGGTGATGTCGGAGCCGACGGCGACGGCGCGGCCGGAGAAGTCCATGCCTGGGCAGCGGGGGAAGGAGACCATTGCTTTTGCGACGAGGCCTAGGTCGGGGAGCTTGTAGTCTGCTGGGTTGATGCCCGCGGCGACGACTTGGACGAGGACTTGGGTTGGTTTCAGGATCGTGGGGGATGGGGTTGGGACGGTTGCTAGGGTGAGGTCTTTGATGAAGGCGCCTGGGGCGGGGATTTGCCAGCGGCGCATTTCGGTGGGTGGTGATTGTTGGGCCATTGTGAACGTGATGTTGATGATACACTGGGGATTGAGATTCGGAGGTTGTTGATGAGATGGAGATGTGTGGAGTGGAGGTGAAGTGTGAATGTGAGTGTGGGAGTGAGGAGGTCTAGATAAGGCAGCTCAAGCTTCTCCCCGCGGAAGGCGCCCCGGTCGTGATATAAACTTTCTCAGACGGTCTTTGCTTCCAAGGTGGGGTGACGGCCACTGACGAAATCAAAAGTCAACCGGGCAGCCAGCCCGGGGAATGCGGGAACTCCCCTCTCCCCCTCGCCAACCATCAGTCATCAGTTCATAATAACCCAACTCTCCCTCCCTCCCTCTCACCGGGGGGCGGCAACAAGCACCCGACGCAGCACAAGCGGCTACACCGCACCACCCCCCGATAAGTCAAATGGCGTCACGACTCGGCTTGCCCCGATCCGGCTTGTTCGCTCCGATCATTCTCCCGGAGACCCCGATCCAATTCAACCTCGGGAAGTCGGGGGCAGGTTCAGATGTCAGGTCCAATCCGCATGAATACTAAAGGTTGATATGAATAGATGGCCCACCTTCGTTGGGGCTGCCGATTGGATGAGTGGGAGAGAGAAAATTCCTGCAGTCGAATCTTTCTAGAAGAAAGTGGGTTTGGCAGCTGTAGGAACCACAGCAACCAGCCAGCACATGCCATGGATTGCGGTTATTTCTCAAGGACGCTACAAAAAGTACCTTATGCAGATGCGTTGGCATGAGGTTCCGAGATTGGACGTTATGTAAATACCTTGAGCCGAGTCTCTATTGAATTATATACTCTCAGCATCAGAGGCAAAGCTCACGTAGGAACGGCTGTGGCTGAAGAGTCGATGAGGATAATAGCGCTTCTATTTTGTGCCTTACCTTACCTTACTTCTAGCCCCCATTCCGACCTATCATAGTATCGAGGATACGACGCTGCATTGATTGGATGCGTTAACGTCGCGGGCCACCCTACTCGCAACGACAAGACTCTCGACTGGATACAGGAGCTTTACCTACTGTCGGAACGGCAAGGCTGATAAGGAGCAATGGGCAGGTATCGTGGGCTGGCTGGCGCCTGCCCTGGGCGAAGTGGGACAACTGGCTTAGTCACCACGGCCGGTTAAGGTGGGGCAACCACCCAGGCCGTCACCACCTACTTCGATCGGCCCCTGCCCACAATGTAAATAGGAAGAAGAACAACAACAGCAATTATCACGGACATCGACGTGATTGTTGCCGAAGATACACCCTCATGAGGAAATGTATCACGCCTGTGATACCAACACCTACCTTACCGGGTTGACACCCAAGACTGAAGCAAACTTGTTAGATCGTTCAGCCGAAGTTTTTTGGACATTGTTCGGAAGCTACCTAGGCGACGACAACGGGTGTTCAGTACCGTTGTCGGTAACTCTCCACCTTCCAAGTCGACCTGGTTCGGAGTACGACAACTACCTGGGCTGTGGATATTCGAATTTAGTCAAGAAAGTAAGAATCGATGCATGCCACTTCTATTACTGTAGGATCTCTGGGAACATCATTCCAGCAGCAATATTATTTATCATTCAATCTAGAGCAAAGGCCCTTGCCTTAACAGACATACAGCTAAGCTTTTCATGTAGTGTAGAGAGGCCAAATGTTCCGTTCTTCCTTCTTAAATCCTTATATCACGAAGTGACGGGTATCTTCCCCCTTCCTCCCAGGCAACCCAAAAACACCATGCCACAGTCCAGAGCGTCACGCACGCTGATGGATCGAGGGGCATTGATTGCCCTGTTTCCTTCGAGGACATATGCCCAGACAATTACTGCGGTAAAACAACCCAATAAGTCCAACTTTGCTACCACTGTAAACACAGCGGTTCAAATCGTCGATGGGGGTATATTTGTACGAAACAGCACTCGTCCTCATTATCGTCCATTTTTTCCCTTGTCTTTCTCCAGAAACGGCAACCTTCACATCTCGCATACTCAGGCGCACCAAGTAGACGCCCAGCGACCAAGCTCATTCGGCCCACAGAACCGCTCCATATCATCCTCCCGCAGAGCAAGCAGGACCTCCCAGGGCGCTTCACCCTTGGTAATCCCACGACGCTGCATGATATTCATGCTGCCGTCGTTGGCAGACCACGTCTTGCGCACGTAGTCAGCCTTGCCGCCCGTACCAGGGATGCCAAAGTTTACATCGGCGCCCATATGCGTCCAGACGCTGCAGCCGAGGCCAGCGTGGCCAGGCTGGAGCGCCTTTGTAAAGGCCTTGCCTTCCATTGTAGGGTCGGGAAGGGACGAGGCAAGGGCGATCCGGGCGGGGATGTAGCCCGGCGCGCTTGCCTTGCTGATGGCCTGGCGAACGCGCCAGGCGGCGTCGAGGATGGCAGGCACGGCGTCGCAGGGCAGGGTGCCAGAGGTAGAGGTTTGGATTAGGTCCTCTACTGTTGTCTGTCCGCTGGTGGTTTGCGTGTATACATTGCCCCACGCCCCAGGGGAGAAGGCGGGGGATAGACGGGGGCGGGCATCTGCTGCGGTGGTGAAGGAGGTCTGGTCCTGCTGGGAGAGGTGGGTGAAGCGGGATCTGGTGACGTGGACCCAAATCATGGCGGAGAGGGTGTCTGCCTTGGAGACAAAGGCTTTGTCACCGTGCTTTCCACGAACGTGGGTGAGGGCTTTGTTATGGAGGTCGGAGAGGGTCTTGTTTGGAATGCTGAACAGCACACAGACTGCTTTGGGAGGCTTCTCTGAGATGGCCTTGGTGTTGGTGATAGTGTCGTTGGGGGTGAAGTCGTACTCTTCGAATGTTGCCTTTGAGATATCGGTGATTGTGTAAGGGACCATGCTCGGGCGGTCGTTATGCTCGTCTACAAAGACGCTGAAAGGGTCTTCGTCGTTTCCTTGGCCGAAGTACTCAAGGAACGCCTTGATGAGGCCGCCGTCAAAGATGGCATGGTGAGTCGAGAAGCAGACGAAGAGGCCGCCTCCAAGAACTTCTGTGATCTTGATTGTCACAGGAGGGCAGGATTCACCTGGCTTCGGGTGGTTAGGGGTGAGAGACAGGATGTCTTTGTCCATGAACGAAGGGGGCATGCCACGCTTCTTCAGATCTTGGTAGTCGAGACCTCCAAGATGGTCAACCGAGCTATATGCGAAGATGTCTGGTCGCTGGTCGAGGTTGATCTGGGGAGCATTGAGGTCGTAGGTGAGCTCCAGCTCATTGGGTCGGCGACTATTGCTAGCTGGGCCAATGCGGCCTGACAAGAAAGGCCAGCGGGCAAGAGCGGTCTCGAAGCGAAGCTTGAGGTGAGCGATTGTCTCAGCTGTGCTGTACTTCTCACCCTGGTCGAAGACGAAGATCGATCGCACATAAATGCGCGGGGCGATCTGGTCCAGGGGCCCGAGCTCAATGGTAGGGAGGATGGCGGTGCTACCCATTGTGAATATTGGTGACGAGTATGGGGAAGGGTTGTTGGTCTGAGTGTAAGTGAGGTATGCGAGGTAGCGAAGAAGAGCAAGTATCGACGGAGGGGAGGAGGAAAGGAGGTACGTTGGAGGAATCTCCAACTATGGAGAGTATTGTGCGAGGCAACTTGCATGTGAGGGAAGGTGTTGAGAGGAAGGAACAAGCTGTTGCAGTGAATGAAAGGTCGCTCCTTACTACAATTCGTGGGAGGTATTTCCGACTGCTCAGGAGGAAGGATTGCCAACGGAGATGTCCTTCAAGGTTGAAGGACTCCTGGTACGAAGGTGAAGTTTGACCCAACGGTCATACAGGTCCTACTTTTGCTCGGAGATAGGTTGCTTTCAATTCGCGGTTTTCCAGCTGATTCGCCGGCAACGTGCTTCAACTTCAGCACGCTATCAAGGTATCTTGCCTGACTGTTGATCTGGGAGCCCTTTGGAGGAATGGTTTGATGAGTGAATTCTGAAGTCAGACCATGGGCTTTCTGAAGTTTATACAAGCCATTTCCGCAGCACCAATTCAGTTGGGGCCTGTAGCTGTTCGGAGAGCCCAGCAATATCGATCGCTGTAACTCGCTGTTCACCCGGTCGGAGGTTTAATTGATTCGATCTGTTTACTTACAGTATGACCGAAGACATCATTAGCAGAATATAGCCTGAAAGAGAATTTGAGATAAACCTGCAAGCGCGGCGTCGTGAACAGTAAAGATTTCAATGTGATTGTGTGTTTATTTCTTGTCTTTCAAAGAAGGGCAACACAAGACCCCCTTATGTATAGCCTGGCTGGGAGCATAATCAGACTGTTGGCCTTAACAAGCGCCGGCGGCTGCTATGACCTTCATTTTAAGATAAAGAAAGAATAGAAGACAATTGACCGGGTTCTTGTCGGCCATTAAAGAGGTAGTGTCAGGCACATAATGGAAAGGTCAAGCTGGTTCACTGTACCGGTCGAGTCAGCCTTGGCCCTCCAATGGCCTCTGGCGGAGTCCTGATTGTTTGATTGAGAGTATCTCGGGTCCGTTGAGTAAGACTATGTCGCGCTTTGAGGCATCTGCGAGAAGTTGGTTTGGTTGCGTTATTCGCATCGATCAGGGAAAACCATGATGATCTTTCGGTGCTGGTATATTAAGTTGTTCCGTACAGGTAATAAGTACCTGGGTTAACAATAAACTACCGACTGGAGTGCTATGTGAACAAGAACGCCAACTTGCATGGCTGATAGAGTCATCTACTGCGAAGAAGGGTGACTTCATTCTCTCCTGAAGGTTCATCTCACGCTCTTCCTTGACCTCATCCTAATGACCTTGGTGGAGCCGTAGAAGAAGAACCTAGGAACTTTACTGTAAAATAGTAGTCCCATTCTACTATCTGGGGGGTGATGATTTTAACCTCCATCTGAGCGGAAAGAGAGGAGTGCCATATGGTGAAAGTGTCGGAAGTAGCGTGTCTACGCCAGTTCCAGCAGGCAATTGTTCATGAACCACGTCTATAGCGCAGACGAAGATGTCGACGTCGTAAGCCCTAGCTAGACTGAACACACGCTCGTCGTTGACGTGGCAGTATATTTGCTTGATCAACCTGCATAAGCTTCAACTCTGTGAGTCTGTAAAGGGGACTGGAAGGAGTGAACACCTTTGATAAGACTCATTTCTCCAATGCTAAGTAGTCAATAGTATCAACGGCATTGACACTGCTTTAGTTGATAGTAATATAAGAGGATGTGATGTTACCTTACACATTGATCGGGAATCGAAACACTACAGTAAGATTGACACGTACGCACCCTCGCTCATCTTTATATAATATATACTTAGTATCAACAGGAGACAAGTCTATCATCTAGTGATGTCGCTGGAGATCTGTCGTTTCCTTCCTTGTTGTCTCGTTCTATCTCGTGGTTTTATAGACTCGATAGCTGCGCAGGTTTGTAGCCTATCATTTTCTGCCCATTGCTTCAGCTCTTTTCTGGCTGCGTTTCCCAACAGACAAGCTCCTTAGAGAACCCGACCGCAGATTCAAAACTTGGACACACGCAACATGCGCTCTGATAGCAAGCGGTGTGCTCAAAACTTTCATCATATTTGTTACACCGAACTGTACCCCTGTCAAAGCCTGTGTTCTAGACTTAGTATGTAGACAAGAAACAGTTCACCGAATCGTCATGTTACAAATCTATGTTCCAGTCACAAGAATTAGCAAGGTAGTATTGCAGATTTCAAAGTGTTAGGTGTTCTAATCATTGCATTTGGTGTCCAAACTTATCTGAAAGCAAATAAGTACACCGGATTATGGCTCTGCCCTCACTCCAAACCTCTGCCACGAAAAGTCTCCCTCTCCGCCACTTGGATTATAATTATCCACCAGTTAAACCATGCCCCAAGGTTGAGTGTAAAACTACTGGCACCTGGGATAAGAGCTTCCACAATCAGGTGTAAGAAATCCGCGATTGTTTCCCGGAGGGCAGTACTCAAACTCCATGCAGTCACCTGATGACAAAGTGCAATGCTCTCCATTGAATTTCTGGCCTTCAGGACACTGAGGCAACGTTTGTCCCACGCACTCCTTGGAAGCAGCATCCCAAGTGGTGTTGGAAGGACAAACGGGGTCCTGCTCAGATTCACAAATCCTGCCGTTGAACTGAGTGCCCGGAGGACAGCTTGGTTCCACGATAGACGCACACCGCTCTCCGTCGAACTCGGTTCCAGGCTCGCAGCTCGGAGTGTCACCAACGCAGACGGTTCCATTGAAGTGAGTTCCCAATTCACACTCTGGGATACCGTCGGAGATACACTCCTCCCCACTCAGGATGTATCCAGGGGGGCAGGCCTTCTCCTCGATGTTCTGGCATCGGCCGCCGAGCCACTGATGGCCAGGCGGGCAGTCTGGAGGGTCTATGCTGATACAGGTGTTGCCCTTAAGAACCAAGGCCTTTGGGCAGGCGGGCGGGCCTCCGATACACTCGTCGCCGACGAGCGTCGTGTCGTCAGGGCACACTGGGGTTTGCCCGGTGACACATGCTCCGTCGCTCAGGGACGATCCCTTGGGGCATGCGGGCGGGGTGCTCGATACACAGCGTGAGCCGTCGTAAATGGTGTTCTCGGGACAGCTTGGAGGGTCGCCTCCCACCCGGGTGCAGTCCTCGCCGTCGAAGTGGCTGCCATCCTCGCACTCCGGTCGACCACTGATGGCACAGTCCCTGCCATTGAACTTGGTTCCGGAGGGGCAAGAGGGTGGCTGGATGCTGATACACTCGTCGCCCTGGATGTGAGTGCCCGTGGGACAGATGACTTCGCCTACGGAAACACAGTTTCCGTTGGTCAGTGTTGTGCCATCTGGGCAGATTGGTGGCTCAACGGAGATGCAAGTGGTGCCATCGCGAGCTGAGCCTGGAGGGCATCCTGGCGGTGTTATAGAGATACATCGATCGCAGTCCAACTTGGTTCCTGGGGGACATGAAGGGGGAACGACTGTGATGGCTCTGCAACGATCGCCAACTTGCGTGGTTCCTTCCGGGCAGCCTTCTGGGGGACCTTGTACGAGCAAACATCTCCATCCCACTTCAGGGGAAGTGGGCAACATCGTGAGGTGCCTGAAGCCTTGTCGGCAGACATCTCAGTCCCAGGTGAACAAGCAGGCTCGTCCGGGGACACACATTTCGTGTCTTCTAGAGTATCGCCAGGGGGGCATGATGGCGGTGTCTTCATGATACAGTTGTTTCTCTTGACGCTGAACCTTGTTCCGTCTGGGCATTCGGGGCCACCATCAGTGATGCAGTTGCCTCCTTTGGAGAAGGTGCCAACTGGACATTGGGGAGTCTGGCGATGATTGCAAACATTGTTGACTTCGTCGTACTCGCTGCCAGCAGGACAGCTGGGCGGTACAACACTGATGCACACTCCGTCGGAAAGAGTCGTGCCCTCAGGGCACACCGGTGGACTGGAACTGACGCAGCCCTTGCCGTTAAACCGATCGCCGTTGCCGCAGATGGGAGTCTTGGTCGAAATGCAGACTTTGTCGACCAGTTGTGTGCCAGAGGGACATTTCGGCGGCGTTTCCAAGACGCAAGCCTTGTCTTTCAGAATTGATGGGGAAGGGCAAGATGGTGGAGTGCTCGTGATGCAGACAAGTCCATTGAATGTCTCACCATCTCGGCAGAGGGGGCCAGTGATGGAGATGCAGTGGCTACCTTTCAGCTTCGTGCCGTCTGGACAACCCGGAACTCCGAGGACGCAAGAGTTACCATCGAACAAGGTCCCTTCCGGGCAACACTTGACGCGGCCAGACTCTGGGTCGGTGAGGGGCTTGATTGCATCTAGAGTCCATTTGTTGCGGACTGCCGACCCCAGTGGTATCTGGTCGGCTACTGCCTGGAGGGCAAAGAGAGAAGAAATGAGGCCCGCTTGTACAGCGACCATTGCGATGAGTTCTAAAAGATTCAACACTAGAGCTTGGTAGATGGTTGTGAAGAAGAAAATGAGAGTAGGGTTGATTGCGTGGTACTCATCTTATAGCTTGTGGAATGAGATGTTGAAAGCTTCAGACAGCGCGGGAAATTACATGTGTCAAGGCCAATAAGCTGCCCACATAGCGATTTTCTCTCTCCAGAACAGCTATGGAGTAAATCGTCTCTGTCCTTAACCAAGTGTACGTCACGATCCGCAATATTTTCTACCTGAGCCTAGTATTCATTGTCCGCAAACGTTATGTGTCTCTCTGCCGCCGAAGTGAGCTCTCTTGAAAATGGTATTATTCAGTAGACCCCGCTTCAAGATCACTACTCAAGGAAGAAGTCATTTGAAGCTAGAGAGGGGCGGAGCAAAGTCAAGAAGCAACTCCCCTCTATGCTAGAGTAAACATTGAATGTCCCTGGAGTCTGAGACCAGTAAGCCACAGTCTTACTAGACGGAGGTTATGGAAGACTGTGTTTTGGTGGAATTTGATCCGATCAACTGCATTCAGCATTATCAGGCATGAGCGAGCCTTAATACCGCCAATCCAACGAGGTAGCATGCTGAGCGGGTTTGTTCAATAACCATGTCGATCATCAGCGTCGCTTCCGAGAAGCCGATACAAGTCGGAGTTGCTTCCGACGAACATCATTCGCTGAGATGAGAGTACCGAGTGCTAGTAACACACTGGCTTGTCCGTTTTGGCAGTGGTTGTGCGGGCAAGACACCTTTGTCGGGTGAATCATCTAATTATCTTGATAAGAGATCTACCGAGACAAGGATCTCCGAGCATGATCCAACTGCCTACGGCCTTATTTCAGACTCTTGGGACCAAACAATCCTTTATGAACCTGGACTAGTTCGGAACATCATATCACAACGTCTGAGCTCTACCGATGTTTGCGGAGCGCGACAAGGATTCTGCCTCCTCATTGGCTGTCGCCTATGTTCGACGTTGCTGGAAGCCATGGATTTGGTTCGAAGATCTCGGGAGATTCGCCGATGCAATGTCTTTCAAACGGCCGCGTAGATAGTAAATCTTTACTGAGTGCGTATGATCTCACCGGTTTGGATCGAAGCTGCGGGGTAGTTTGAGACAATGTTAAGGAACGGGACGGTCCAGTTGCCCGGCTATCGACTTAGACTAACCGCATGCCTCACAAATCACTGCCTACCTAAGACAGCTTCAAGATCTCCGACAGGCTATCTGCGAGAAGCCAAGGCCGCCATCAGCTAATCAGCTTGTGCGTACGGCGGAGAAGAGCCGTTTCCGCTTAGAGCTGAAGCTTCAAGGAGCTCTCCTTACCTTAGAGACCTGGGCACAAAAGCTTTGGAAACTTCTGTGAATGACATCACTGTGAGAGCGTGAGACAATGTCAATGCTTTACGACGTTCCGGTTGAGGCCTCAAGTTTCTCGGAGACATCGCTTAGGGCTAAGATACGAAGTTAAAGATTGGTGTCTCACCGTGTAAGTAAGCTTGAGATAGGACGGCTCTCATCAACAACATGTCGGATAGTCGGACAATTCGGATTTTGAGCCCTGCTGTGACGATGATCTCAACTCAGCGCGAACTAACATGGCGTTCAAGCATTAGAGACAGTCTTGAATCCAGCTAGGCAAATTGTATCAACTGCACCCAAAGTCCATTGCTGTGGCTGCTTCCTGAACAAGTAGTCGATAGTCGACGGGCACCAATTAGAACTTGACTACATTGGAAAGTGCCAGTATTGGTCTGGGAAGTCGGCAAAACAAGAAACCCGGCACTATTCCACGTAGCGTACTACAAGATGATGCGTCTGTTGATCTAATGTCATCGAACATGAATCCGGCATGTGAGAAGCCGATCTATCTAGCCCAAGTTATGCTCATGTGACTTCAGAGCAGAGAAGACATGGAACTTTTTTTTTTCACCAAGTGATACCTGAGTCTTGCTGAGGCGGTTTCTGGAGTTATTTATAAAAGAATAAATTCGCCCATTTGTTCAAGTTCATGCGGGACGTTCTCACACGTTATCAGCTCCAGCCTCTCCCACTGTGGCTTTAATTGGATTACCTCAACTCTACTTGATCTTAAGTGCTCTTCTCACAAATTGCGCTACTATGCAACTACCTTTGACTACATTGCTCCTTGCTCCAGGCATCACCGGGGTCTTGGCAGCTGACCAGGCGCCTCTTACCGGCGACAACGGCAACTGTCTTTCCTCTCCGAGCTATAAATCTTGTTGTCCTACCCAGCAATCCTCGGGAAAAGGCGGTATCAGCGGAAGTACGTTCGAATATGTCTGTGGCTCCTGGTCGTCGGGTGCTGTCAAGCAGGCAGACAAAGCACTCACGCCTGCGCATTGCGCTCAGGTGTGCGCCCAGGATCCGCAGTGTGTCGCAGGAGCCTGGTCCACGGGAACTTGCTACATAACAAAGGACCCTGCTTACAAGCGCTTCGGTCCCAGTAGCAACAACATCATACTCCTCGTCAAGACAGATGATGCGTTCGGCGGTAGCACACAAGGCGGGACTGGCCGCCAGAACGCAGCCGAGTGCGCGAATGAGAAAGACGCCATCCGGCGCCAGATGACATCTCAGTGCGACAGCGAGAAACAGAAGCTCCAGAATGGCTGCAAGGATGACGTACGGAAGGCGGAGGAAAGTTGCAAGAAGGAGAAAACAGCACTCGAGGCGAAGGCGGCCTCAATTACGCAGGAGAAGGCGCAATGCGAGGCTGAGAAGGCTCGGGAGCTTACCGACGCTAAAACGCAATGCGACAATGACAAGACTCGAGAGATTACCGATGCCAAATCGAAGTGCGATGCCTCAAAGTCCGATATCGAAAAGCAACTGCAACAATGTCAGAGTCAACAGGGCCAGGGCCAGAATAACCAGCAAGAGTCCCCGCAACAAGCCGAGTGCAGGACCATGTCGTGGCAAGGCATGTGTGGCGGCAGAAAATGTGCAGACAAATTCTCCGTCGAGGGCGTCGAGTATGCGCGTCAATGTGGCGTTGCTACATTGAACACGCGACAGAAGCCCGTTGCGACTACGGTCTACCATACGCCATGGGACTGCTTGAAGGCTGAGTGCAACGGAGTCTCGAGCTGCATGGGTATTGGGTGGACTGACGCATTTGTAAGTGTACCATTCCGGCTCCAGATCGACTGTTGTCAACGTTCAATCTCTAAGTGCGCGTGTGCTAACGTTTCTCGATGTGATGTAGAATCTGTGCCACGTCCACCTGCATGCGAACACTGCGGGAAAGATCCTGAGGCCTCACCCTCAACACCATGCTCTGTTCAAGGTGGACTGGAAACAGCCATTCTGAGGATTTTCCAAGGAAGTTCGAGAGATGACCGTTCTATGGAGTCAATAGGTGGATGTCAGTATCGGACATCCACCCTGAGGAGCAACAGTCTTCAAGTCCATAGAGACTACCCAAGATGTGGAACCAAGTGGGCAAATTTGTCATCTCCCGTCCAGTTCATTCTGCCAGTGTAGTTTAATCAATTCTCTACTACTTGATAGAGCCCAGGTCTAGGCATATATAGTCCCTTAGACGAAGGTCAAGACTCATCTTCGGCTTTTATTGACGTATCTGGCTGCCTTAAACATGTCAAAGCTGCTTCCAATGCTGAGATACACCGAATGAGCCTCGACTGACCAATTAATACTGCTATTATCATAATACCAAGTAACAATTGCCCAGAGAAAAGGCCTCTTGGTATTGAGGCAAGCGAGATCTCGAGTACATGTAGTAAATACTCATTCAATTTGATTTCATTCTAATTCATCAAGGTGGTTCATTCTGCATCTTCTAGAGCTAAATTGAGCGATATCGAGTCCGAACAAGGCACCCAGAAGTCCTCTATTACCATAACGCCGCGCAGAAGAAATCATCAAATTCAAGTCAGCCACCCCAAGCGCTTCAACTAGAGCATTCGCCATCAAGCTGAGCAGTCACGGTGTTGTATCGTCAGGTTTGGCGCCAGGTAGCATCATGCGAAACGTCCAACACTGAGCTTCATAGACCTCGCGGGTGACCTTCTTGAGCCACACGGTCGGCACAATCGGAAGCCAAAACTCGCACGTCTCAGTCTTGAGTATCTCCGATCCAGCAGCCCAAGATGCTGACGCGCCTACTACATCGCCAGCGGCAAGCTGTGCGTGAGCCAAGGACAAGTGTATCGTCGCCGCCGTAAAGCCGGCTTCTGCTTTGAGGGCATGCATACGCTGAATCTCTTGAAGGGCGTGCCTCCATCGTATCACGGCGAGGTTCTTATCCGATCTGAAGTGGGCTATCCGAGCCACAGCGAGGACGGCACGCATATGTAACTGCTGATCAAAGAGCGTATCTATACCAATCGGCGTGGTGTGTTGAGTCTCGAGCTCCCTGAGTAGGAGTTCTGCGGCGTCAAAGTTTTCTAGTCCGATGTTGAACTCCGCTGATGATAGCAGCAGCCGCGGATAGGCTCGACGTGAGAGTTCGGGCTTATTCGAGCTACTCAGCTCTGGTCGTAGGATCTCGGCTGCCTTTGAGTACTCTTCCATCTCGCAGTACATGTCGGCAAGTCTGCTTACCAAAAGCCGGCGCGTGTTTCCTCGCAGAGGTTTTGTCATGTCAAGTGAGAGAGTCTGTTCCAGCGAAGCCCTGGCTGCAGCAAAGTTTCCGATGGATTGGAAGAAACGTGCTGCCGTGCTCTGGAGTCGGAATGTCACCTCGGTATCCAGGGTCGAGAGCGGTAGTTCTGCTTTCCATTCGTAGATGAGCAGGGATACGTCGTCATCTGTGCACTTGATCTTGTTCTCCATCTGAGATATATGGAGTCGTCCATGAAGTGAATGGTCCCGTCGAGTAACCGGTCGCGGGCCACGCCATACAAAGTCGCGTATGTGAGCCTCTGACTTTGTGAATTCTCCTTCGTTGCGGTAGAGAACACTGCGAAAGAGCACAACGGTAGCGTGAAGATAGTAAGGCATAGACTTTCGCAGCAACGATCGAGCCCGATCCACGGCAACATGACGCATGGCAACCGAGTCTCTTTCGCAGAAGAAAAGAATAGCCTCAAGAACTTGTGTCCGGAGTGGCGTTGGCACTTTATACGCTCTTGTCGTCTTCTCAACTATAAGCCAAGCTGCCAATTTGAGGGGTTCGGACCTGTACGATTTCATGTCAGTCGGGAAATCCACATGCTCGTCATTGGTCAGGGCTGGGCCATACCAGTCCGTGTTGCCTTCGTAACATGGGGGACAAACAAAGCAAAGCAGCTTCAGAGCAACTGCTCCTAATTCTTCTACAGTTCTTGGTCGTAAAGCGCGAGACAAGAAAACAGAGAATTCGGGGCATAGCGACAAAGCCAGGGTGTCGTTGTCTAGCCTGCGCTTGATGATATTAGGGCTCTCTATAGCACAGGAATATTCAACGTCATCAGAAATGAGCTTGACGAGCTCATTCGAAAGACCAAATTTGGAAGCCTCGACGGCTTCAATTTCTCCATCGGTATTCCATCGGCGTTGCGGGACTCGCACGCCCTTCAAGAGGATCTCGGGGATTTCGACTGCACCGAATGCTTGAAGTAAGAGCAACAGCTGGTCCGCAGCTGGGATCAACTCTGCATAGCCCACGAATAAATTGTAATAAGATGATTTCAATGACGGATCTACGGCCGTGGGTCAGTACACAAGCCCAGGGCCCCAGAGATGCAAGACACGAGGCAACTCACCACGCAGCTGACTTAGAATGAGGCGTTGGACCACATCCGCATGATCCGTGACTTGTGGAGCGAGCGATAATAAGTGGTTGAAGACTTCTTCATCATCTGTGTTCAAGTATCTTTCATAACTGCCCGGTATAAGTCAGTTTTGTGGATTACTAAATGGGCAGTGCACACTCTTGAATCTTACGTGGATGGTGGAATGTCTAAAGGAAGCCAGAGAATCGATCCCAGACCACCCAGCTTTCGGGCAATTTGGATATACTTTCTCCCAGAATTGCGAATGTCCGCATAGTTTGTCTGTCCATGAAAAGGCTTCGCGATATGTGGTGGCACTGAAGCTTCAGGATCCAACTTGGATCTCAGGAATATTACTATGCAAGCCAACCGGCGTCGCAAGTCGGCATTGACACGGTCGTCAGAGGCTACCCAGAAGCCATCAACATTCTCGCTGAAGACCTCGTAAATCTGCTTGACGGGCGCGAGGTCAACCGAGTCCACGGACAGGGCCTTGTTCGTCCGCTGGTTGCGTGGCGTGATTTGATACTGCACGTCCCGGGACAATGCCTTCGACTTTGCTAAGAGTCGGCGGACGTCCTCGAGGTGGCTGTTGAGAGCAGGGATCAACTCTCTAGCTCGCTCTTCGTCATATTGTTTGGATAGAAGCCGAGTCGAGCTACAGAGACATATAGAGTTATCCATCGCGTGGCGACTCGGAGCATTTGATGGCGACTTGTGCGAGAGAGGCAATGGCACCCCCCCTTTCATGCAGAATTTGAGCTCCACTCGTGCATCTCGGCTTTGGTCGGATTTGCGGAGAACCGACCCGCACTAGGAGTATCAATCAACTAAACCCTTGACTTGCCCACATTTACTGACAGAGACAGTTAGACTGCGATTAATTTAGTTCTTTATCAGCTTATCAGATCATGATGGATCCCGTGAGTCCGCCGAGCGCCGGAAGCATGCTCGGAGATGCTGCTTCGGAGCAATTGAACATCGAAAACACCATAAACTGTGAAGCAGGAAATCCACTCGAGATATTCCGAACCCTTCTTTGAAGAACTTACTGCAGGATTCACTCATTGTCCAGCAAGATCAACGATTCGGACACTTACGGTCTACCCACACGTTCCTCTGCGCCAATGTACTAGGCCTTATCTTGCACGATTTTCATCGAAAGTGTAAAGCATTTTCGCGAAACTAATCGCACTAAAAGAATGACCCAATGTCTCCAGCAACAAGATCGGCGAGCTCGCAACGTGAATCCTCTTATTTCTGGCGACGTAGAAAGACTGAAGTCACAAACTCACAGGACCTCGCTCCGGTTCGAGACATAGGCCATAGATATTGCGGAACAGAATCGAGACCTGGACATCCAGCCAGATTTGTTGGGAAGACTGTGTGCCCTGGAGTATCTTGAGAATTTAACAGAGTTACTGTACACTCGGGGAACCAACAGGGAAGTTATCAGACACATGAGTCTTTTCGGACTGATATGGATAAGTACGAATCTATTGCAGCAGCCAGTCTTGGAGTTTAATTGTGCCAACATACTGGCGCCGGCCTCAGTCGGAAGTCCGACTTACCCATAAGAATTCTACTTCATCCAGAGCCGTAACTCTTGACTTCTGATTTTGTTCTCAAATCCGAACAGCTGATCACTGCCTCGCACATTAGCTCACTTACTCCAATAACTTGAGCAGGCTAACGCCACAAGCTTCGCAAGGCCGATGCCGGTAGTCAATCTGACTTCCCCTCGTTGCGTTGTTCTCCACTTCACACGCCATCCGGAGATGTTTGCTCACGGTAAGGAATCTGCAGTATTTAACACCCCTGTCAGCTGGGTTTCCACCGCGATGGCTTTTCTCACAGTGAGGGAAATCTCAATTCTAACTACCCTGCAGCCTTGGGGTAACCCAGCTCAAAGACACGATTTTGTCAGCTGTCAGTGTCCAGACTGGGACTTCCCAAGCTGTCTTACATAGGACAGCCAGCTGGCTAGCTCACGTGTCAAAACAATTGTCTCTCGAGCGTCCGCGTGGCATACTGCGTGTGGGCCCTCCAAAAATCTCTGTGGTGGATGATCTTATCAATCTTATCAATCTGCCCCCATGCTCATCTTATCAATCAGCGCACATCTCCCGTTTCGTGACTCGATCTGCCTGTGCGTTCGTTCTACCTCGGTCTCACCACATCCGTCTCCTCAGCCATCCTCACCAACAAGATGGTGCAAGCATTCAAGAGCCCGAAGCAGAAAGCAAACGAGGATACTCTGCATGTTTACGTCGCGTTTCTTTTTGGTCTCGTGCTTCTGACCTTCGTAGCCTATTCGCTGCGTGAGGCTTCCAACAAAACCCCATGTTCCAAAAGAGCTCAGGGGCTGAAGGGTTCCGGGCGCCGGGCATGCGTTGATTTCTTTCGGTATGTGGGAACACGCCTTGTCCACTCAACACTAAGATGCTAATGAGGCTCTTAGAAATTTAGAGAGGCGTGTGGATTGGGGATGGTTTGGGAGGCCCTCCTTCGGGTTCATCGCAATGGTTGGGGTCTACCTCGTCGTCAATGTCACTCTTTGCTCAACCAACATCGTTATGAGGCGTCTACTCAATCATTGGGCCTCTAGGCTTGGATGGTGATTCTCTCACACTCTTCAAATTCTCATGCAGCAGCTAACATGTTTCAGGATGTGCGCCGCAAACATAACGCTATGCATATTTTTCGGAATGAAGAACACGCCTTTGAGTCCACTAGTAGGAGTATCACATGCACAGCTCAACATTCTGCACCGGATTGTGGGATATACCGCCGTCTTCCTGCTTGCTCTGCACGCTATCTTTTACGCGATACACTTCCATCGCTATGGCAAGTTGGCCAGCTTGCTGAAACCCGAAGACCTGGCTGGTATCGGTGCCGCTATCGGAATGATCATTCTGTTCCTAGGAATACTGAGACACAGAAACTACGAGCTCTTCTACATCAGTCACATCGCTGGCTTCGTGGCAGCCGTCATTTTGACGGGGTTGCATCGCCCAAACTGGGCAAAGAGGATACCAGCTTTGATGAGCTTTGCGTTCGGACTTTGGCTGCTAGATCGCACGATCCGAGCTTCTAGGATGCTTTACAACCTCATCAACAACTCCGGCGCCTTCTATCTACTCCCGGATGGAGGAACGCGCCTGCTTCTCAAAAGGCCAAGTGCCCAGGCTGCCTCACCGGGGACTCACGTCTTCCTCTGGATTCCGCGGGTCCATATCTATGAGAATCATCCATTCACAATCGTTAACAATGGCCCCGCTGGCTTGGAGCTTGTGATGAAATCCCACCAGGGATTTACCAAAGCTGTCAACAACTTTGCTACATGTCGTACTCGTTCTACAGCCTGGGCATCGGTTGATGGGCCGTATGGTGTGTGTCCTGATATGGACAACTACGACAAGCTGATCTTTATCGCTGGTGGAAGTGGAGCGGCTTTCACGTTTGGTCTCATAAATCGGATTCTAGGACAGTCTGAGAGACCTAAGCTCCAATCCGTTGAGTTCGTGTGGACTGTCAGACGTACAGGTGAGCCGCAGTATTCATTCTTTACTTGATATATCCCTCTAACAACCTAATGCGATAGAGCATCTCAAGTGGTTCTCCGAACATCTCAGCAAGCTCATGAAGATGGGACCAGCCGTCAAAGTATCGCTGTTTGTCACAAATGAAGAGCCAATATCAAGCCCAATAGCGACGCAAACCGACACTCCGTATGACGTTGAAAGTCAGCTCTTGTCTGAGAGAGGTACACCAAGCTACGGAGCTGTATCGAGCGTAGACGACACAAGTAGTCTGCTTGCCCGAGCAAACGGCCATGAAGTCGAGCAGGCTTATAACCTCCATTTCAGGAGAATGGACATAGAATCGGTGGTCAGTGATGCCATACAGTCCGTTGAGAGTCGTCAAAGAGTTCTGATGGCCACTTGCGGCCCAGAATCATTGATGGAAGCTGTGAGGGATTCGGCGGAAAGTTGGCGGAAGAAGCGAGACCTTCGAATAGACGTACACTCCGAGGACTTTTAGAGTCATAGAGAGATTCTTTTAGATATCAGCACATCATCAGCGACAAATTACAAGCTTTTTCCACTTCCACACAACTCAGTACTTCCCAAAGAGAAAAAAAAAACAGGGACCGGGTAAATTTCACGAGGGATAAATGAGACATCCGTCCCAGGAAACCCAAAGCCCCTGCTGTCAGCCGGCGCCATGCCACCCAAGATGCGCCCACTTGTCTAAAAACCCGCCCATGCCCATCATAAATGGGTCGCGTTGGGGCGCTTGCATTAGTGTACTTTGTTAGGATTCCAATGTGTGTGGAGCCAACGCCGAGCCACGGGCTTGGCTGTTTATCTGATGTACGAACAAAGATTGATAAAACCTGATCCTTTTGCGCCCTCTCGGCGGTGAATTTCTGGGGTTTTGCATGCTCAATTCTCTCATCTTCTTGTTGCTGTCTTTCAAGCTTCTTGTTGCGGCGATTTGCAATGGTCTCCAAGGATCCAGTCGAGCGGCCTCTGCCCGTTGCGGATGGCGAAGATAATGCCTCCCCAACGCGGTCCCAGACCGACAAGAAGGGCATCGTGGATGCCACCAGCTATCCATCTGATGACACTGAATCAATCAGAGACTTTCCGTGGACGTGGAAAGCTACCGCTATTGTTTGTGGTGTTGCCCTCTCCTGGGGCTCGTCTTTCTCTGAGAACACCCTCGGACCTCTCAAGAGCACTTTGATCAAGAATCTGGATATCAATAACTCTCAGGTAAGGCTTGGAAATTAACGTGATTCAATCCAAAGACTTGTGCTGACTCTCTATAGTACGGAGCTATTTCCTCGGCCACGTCGCTCGTTAATACCGTCCTCCCAATTCTCGGGGGTTACGGGCTCGACCATTATGGCGTCGAATGGTAAGCTCCTGTCAAGCTTTGCATTCCGTGGCAAAAATACAATAGCACCAGGACTCTCCTATACTAACGCGATTAAACAGGGGTTCTTTGGCGTGCTCGGTTGCAATTTTCATTGGCGCGGTGATATCAGCGGCTGGCTCCAACCAGGATTCATTTGCTTTTGTTGAAACAGCAAAGGCTGATAAGGAGTATTAATAGGCAGGTACCATGGGCTGGCTGGCACCTGCCCTGGGCGAAGTGGGACAACTGGCTTAGTCATCACGGCCGGATAAAGGTGGGACAACCACCCAGGCCGTCACTACCTACTTTGACCGACTCCTGCCTACAATGTAAGATAGAAAAACAAGAAGAACAAGCAATAGGATCACCAACAGACGAGTGATAATTGCTACCACTATTTTTCGTATACGACCCCGTGGAACCAATACTGATCAGTGGTTGACTTCTCACGAATCACCACAGATTATACCATGAAGAGAGCTCGCCGGCCTGAAAACCCGCGCAGCTGCTAACGAGCAGTAACGTAGACTACTTCACGAAAGTCCACGAGAACCTCAAAACTCCCTCCGGCCTCAGCAGCCCGAGCGCGAGTGCGTCTATCACGCTATCACGACTACCTTTGCAGACGAGAATCCCTCCGTACCTGGTACCGTCGGAAGAGACCTCTGCGTGGCCGCGATACTCCATTTCATACACTTCACCTTCTCATCTTACGCGCAGATTGCGCAGCAATTGCTACCACTATTTGCCGTATGCGACCCCGTGAACCAACAGCTTTAGTAGTCGCTGGGCGAGTAATCATGGGCTTCGGCAGCACTGTTATTGAGACATGTACATCTAAGGTCAGTCTTATTCGAGCCTCAATCTGCTGTTTAATTTGACGACGGACCTGACTAACAACGACTGAAGATCCTGGCTCATTGGTTCCAGCACAAGGGACTTGGTTTGGTGTACGGCTTGGATTTGTCAATTGGTACGTTGTTGCTACTACGACACATCTTATCTCAGAGACACAAACACTGACATATCATCTACCTTCAGGGAAACTCATTGTTCTTACTGCGAAAGCCACTGCGGTTCCGATGCGAGACGCCACTTCGTTCTGGGGCTGGGCGCTCTGGATCCCCGCCATTGTGTGTTTCGCCAACCTTATACAAAACATCTTCTATGTCTGGTGGGTTTGGACACGACCTGAATGGACTCGCATGCCCACAGGCCAGGAGCGAGCCAGAGAGATCACTCGTCGTGAACGCTTGCAGGCTGGCAACACTGAAGTGGCCACAACGAACACCAGCAAGAGCACTCGTACACTGCGGGCACTCCCTGACTGGAGTTCCCTCCTTCGCGTGCCTCGCTTCTTCTGGCTGGTTGCTGCACACAAATTCTCCAGGCCGGTGTGGTGGGAGGATTTAGCGGTCTTAACGCCGACATAATCAAAGAGACTCGAGGTTCCACGGCTCAGCTTGCCGGGTACACTTCCGCAGTGCAACAGGTTATTCCTGTCATTTGCGCACCATTGATCGGGTCTTACTTTGACTTCTTCGGCCATCGGATGGTGTTTGTTAGTATCACATCGGCTATCTAGATCTTGGTGTACTGCCTCATTGGATACACCCAGACGAACGCCCTTGGCTCCATGGTTATCGCCTCTGTGGCGTCGACAATGAATGCTCTTCCCTTCCTGGCGTCAATCCCCCTCATCGTCCCTGATCAGCTCGAACTGGGACTCGTATTCGGAATCTGGAAGTTTTCAACAATGCTGGAAGCGTCATTGTCGACATGATTGCCGGAAGGCTGCAGGACATCACCCCTGGAGGCACGTATGAGCGTGTCATTGCCTTCTTTGTGGCTGTCAAGCGGCTGGAGTTCTGCCTTGGTCTCTTCTACGGAATCTTGGACCGAAAGTAAGTTAGCCTGGCTGTACTAGTTTTCAATTGCGCGAGGTACTAACATCTCAACGCAGGTATCTCTCGGGAATTCTTAGCATCAACAACAAGAAGCGCATGAAGCTTGAGAAAGAGGGTAAGCTTGAGGATTGCGTTGGACGTAAGCCCTCAAAGGGGTATACCACAGCAGGTATTGGCTTGGTGTGCTCGCTGATCATCATTGCCTGGGTGTTGTTCATCAAGTACTCCATTTGATAATGTTCATCGATAAAATGTCGAAAATGACAGTATTTAGCTTTGCATACTGGGCAAGCTGCGGCATCGCAGTCAGGGCAACGAAATGAAAACTTTGCTCTTCTCTCCCCACAGAACGTGCAGGTTGCTTCTCCTTTCTTTCTCGGCCAGCCGTATCTCGTATGATTACACCTGCTCTCCTGCTTGAAAGGATTGAACTGTTTCGAATCTGCGTTTGCTTCGCGTTTATCCGCCGCCTCTCTCATCTTTGCCCAATGCCCACGAGCAAAGCCCAGCTTCTCCTCAATGTTCAACATCTTGAGCCGCTCCTGTGCTGCCTTTTCCATTTGCTTCTGTGCCCGCTCCGCGGCAGCCCTGCTTTTCCTCTCGGCCTCGGCTTGTTTCTGTCGACGGATGTACTCTCTAGCAGAATGTTCCTGTTGAAGCTTGAGCTCTCTGGCATTTTCTTCTTCTCGACGGAGTCTGTCATGGGCGTCTTTTTCTTGTTGTTCTCGAGCTTTTTGTGCTGCTTCCCTCGACCGCAGCTCCGCAAACTCCTCCTTCAGCTTTCTCAGCCTCTCTCGCGCTTCCCTTTTCTCTCTCTGAAGATCTTCCTGTTTTTGACGCTGAGCCTCGTGCTCACGTTCTCTTCGTTTCCTTTCTTCCTCCTCGACAGCTCTCCTGAGACGCTCAGCCCGCTCTCTCTTTCTGGCCTCCTCTTGTCTACGAGCTTGTTCAGCTTCGCCAGCTTGCCTCTGCCTCTCTTCCTCTGCTTTTTCTTGTCGTTCTCGTTCACACTCCTTATTCTGCCATTCCTGGCATGCTCTCCACTTCTCTTTGAGGTTCTCATAATGCGTATCGTATCGGCTACGTTTGGATTCGTCTCGGAGATATTCGTACGCCTCTTGAATCTGGACTCAGGTAGAACAACGTCAGTCTCTAATACGGAATGCTTATTGGTGAATCGTGATTCGGAAAAGCCTTGATATACGTCTTGCAGAATTACTATGCGGAACTTTTCGGTATCAACTTTTGCTCCTGGAGGCTGTTTATCCGGATGATGTTTGATTGCTAACACCCGATGGGCGCGCCATATATCCTGTGCCGTTGCCGACTGCTGGATGCACAAGTCTGCATAATAGTCTCGTATTTTAGGTATTTTAGGTGTTTTAGGAGGCTCCATTTAGTGCAGTATTATCAGGATCGCAGACGCCTTAACGAAGCTCAAACCTCTCATGTTAGTCAACCTTCCGAGCAGGCCGCTTTTAAATGCAGTGGTCCCTCGATTCGCCTTTACTTTTGGGCATCGGTGATCGGCTCAATAAAGAACCTAATCTCGATGATTATACCTATATGCTTTGTAACTGGCTGTCGTCCCATGCAGAATACAGGAGGCCGCAAACTTTGAGTCAAAGAATCTCACCCTTGCATACCTCAAGTTCGTTAGTGTTAACCCACCTCATAATAAAACAACTCGAAAGGCACTATTATTTGATTCCCGGGACCATTAGAGTTGATCAAGATTGTGGACTCTCATTTCGAACATGCGAGACGTGAATATTGATATAACGAGGCAATTAAGATAGTATCATGACAAGATATCAATGGGTCACTAAAGCTATGACCAGATGACTCAGAGCGTGTATCGGAAATCAGGGTGTCTATCGCCCTTCTTTCCTTGGTCAATCTCTCGTGACCTCTCATCGATACTCATGTTTTCTCTCTTGTTGTTGATCCTGTTCAGAAGAGTCCACATGGCAAAGTAACCAACCGACGCAATCGTGATGGTGCAGATCGAGACCGCATGGCCAATTGTGTATCTTCCGTCCGAGGTCGTGATACGGTAAATCTGTCCAGCCATAATACCAGCACTGTTTCCGATAGTCTGTTGCAGGCCAATGGCCGTGGCCCGCTTGAAATATCCAGCATTACTGTTGGAAATCCACGTGACGTTGAGGCCGACAACGCAATAGATACCTGTTGCCGTGACGAAAGTCGCAAAGTAGAGAACCGAGGTTGACTTCATGCTTACACCAAGCATGAGAGCATAACCTGTGGCAGTGACTAAAGCCATCGGAACCATGAACACCGCACGCTTGTTGATTTTGTCCGAGATGTAGGCGATGGTGAGGTAGACTGCTGATGCCCAGATGTAGACCGGCACCGTAAGGAGCTGGGTCTTGATGCTGCTGTAACCAAACCCGCGAATAATGACGGGTAGGAATGTTCCGAAGCCGAAGGAGCAGGTGTTTGCGCAGAATTGGCAGCCGGCTGACAGCCAAACCTTGGGATCCTTGAAAGCGAGTTTGACTTCTTGCTTGTCGAATGTCTCTGACTCGCCCTGGTAGACTCTGGCCTGCTCAGCACGGATGCGCATCAATGCCTTATCCTCTTCAGTAAGCCATTTGGCCGACTCGAAGCTATCAGGAAGCAGAAGTATAAAAGCCAAGCCAACTGCCACGGAGATGACACCTTCGATGAGGAAAAGCCATCTCCATCCAGCTAAGCCACTCGCGCCATGCAGACCTGTGAGTCCGTAAGCCAGAAGACCTCCAAAGGCACCAGATAACGCAGATGCGACGAAAAGGTATGAAATTCTCCGGGCCTGTTCCTCGCGCTTGTAGTATGTGCTGAGGTAGAGCGTCAGGCACGGGAAGAGACCACTCTCAAAGACACCGATGAGGAGACGAGTTGCGAGAAGACCGGCATAGTTGGTGACAAAGGCCGAGCCTATGACTGTTGCGCTCCAGGATAGGATGAAGAATGGGATAAGTCGACTCGGCCGTGCTCTCTTGAGAATCAGGGATGCCGGGATTTCGAAAGTGATGTAAGTCACTGGACACCTTGTTAGCCACCCTCATGCTCGCGTATGAAAGGAGTCATTGCATCGCACCATAAAACACAGTGACAGCGACGTTCAGCTTATTGCCCGTGAGATTCAAATCCTCTGTCATGCCTGCAATTGCGGCGTTACCTAAATTTCGACCTAGTTAGACACCGTTGATTGTAGTGCATCTATTAGTTGAGGGTCGCGTACCGATGTTACTTCGATCGAGGTAAGCCACCAAGAAAGCTATGATCATCATTGGCGAGAGCCATGCGTCCAGCTTTCTGAGGAGACGTTTTTCCGCAGCCGGGTCGATCGTGAGGTCGGAGCTCGCGGCCGCCGAATGAGGCTCGATATCACCATCTTTGGCCTCCAGGGGCATCTTTTCCGAAGACATCATTCAAGCACCAGTGGTCTTTGATTGTCTAAAATGATCAAGGAAATCGATAGAGAGATGTTGCGACTCTGTCTGGAGTTGACAACATATCCTTACGACCAGGCAGAGTATCCTGCAAAGGGCATATATCTACCTTATGCAAAAGATGCATCACAAAGGCACGGTGAGGTCACTGCATTCGCCTATCAAACGGCTTCGGCTTTTGACCGACATACCTGGCTAGGCGTCGGGGAATTGACGAGCTTATCGTAGCATCGAAAGACCATCCTTGCGGTCTGGCGGGGGCAAAGCCGGGGAATGTAGGATTCTTATCTCTTAGTCCGCGAATAGCCTAGAGGCGCCGAGCCATTCCTTTCGGCAAAATGTGGAGAGGATGATAGCCAAGTCTTTTTGGGGATATGAATACCCCGACATCGCCCTCTGGTCCATACAAAAGGGTACTATTTCCCGATCTCGCAACCACGCGACAACATTCCGGCAGACAGTCCGAGCATATTATCAATGGATACCCCAACGCCCAGAACGACTAATCCGAAAAGTCCGATTATTCGGAAGAGGAAGCGAGGTAGGCATGCGGTTGCGTGCGAGTCGTGTCATCGGCGAAAACAAAGAGTGAGTGAGCTTGTTGTCTCATATTTCTTTTTGCCAAGGCATGATAGTCTTGCCGAAGCCTTCGACATGTCCATTACTTCAATTCCCATCTGTCCAGATTACTATCTGTCATTGGACCGAAACTTCACAATGGGTTGTTTTGGTGAAACCACTTGCATAAGGTAGTTGACCGCGCCAGTGCTGAACTCAACTTGACGGCGTGCTGAGCCTACATGTAGTTTCTAAACTCAATTCTGTCCAGTCATCTCACTGACTTCACCTCATCAGTGCAATGGCTCGCGACCATGTTTCAACTGCGAAAGGCGAGGAGTTGGGTCATCGTGTTCCTACAGCCACTTAGTTGAAGACGATGGCCCAAGAGCTTCTCAAGGCCAGCGTGAAACTCGTCTGACTTCGCCAACCGCCAATATTGCAACTCCAGTCTCACCTCCTTCCACGAGTGCAATCCCTGTTCAAGATGCTGAGCAACCTGATGGCTCCTCAGGTTCCAGGACTTTCCCATCAAGGTCTTCAAGTCGTGGTGGGGGGCGGCAAGGCGAGAGTAGCGGTCAAGATCAGCCATCAGAAAACCTCGTCGGCAATCTCTTCAAAAGCCGCGATGCCCCGTCCTTCTTCGGCTCTTCGTACTTCGGCCCTCAAGCCGCCGCGAAAATCATTCAAGCGCCCGCCCCAGAGCTATCATCTGGTCTCAGCTCAAAACCCCAAGCAGGATCAACACATTCGTTCCGAGAGGAGAACGGTCCATTTTCGCAAATATGGGATCTCCTAGGGCTGCTGCCTCGCAAAAAGTCCACGGTCGACAGGCTGACGGAATGTTTCCTCAATGAGCTCAATTGGGCGATTGACGCTGTTCAACCAAACTCTTTCAAGGCCAAGTACGAAAACTTTTGGTCGCGAAAGTTTGGCTTTGATGATTTTGCCACAATTGATCTTCGCTGGCTGGCTTTGCTGTTCATTGTCTTGGCATATGGCGTGTTGTTGGATTGCCCAAGACCGCGGAACAGGGAGGTTCAACGAGAGGTCTACGACACGTCACAACGGTTCTACTGGGCTGCCCGGAGAGCCATCGTGATTGCGCCGACTTTCTACGGCGAGTCAACGGATCTCGTGCGAGCTGGTGTTCTAGTCACTCGCTATCTCATCTACACTCGTCGCGTGCCAGAGTCCTGGCTCACAACGAGCTTTGCTATGCGAATGGCTCAAGCTCAGGGTATGCATATCGACGGTGAAAGGTGGAGGCTTCCCAGGAAGGAGACAGAAACCAGACGACGCTTATGGAGCAACCTTTACATGCTCGACAAAACCATAGCATTAGCTCTTGGACGACCGTTTGCAATTGTTGATCAACAGTGTCTTGTCAAGCAGGCGTCCAACGTTTGGTTAGATGATCTGGATGATGAAGAGGCCGCCTCTGTGCCAGAAGCCCCCCTTTCAGAACCTACCGCGAGCGTCTTCAGCCGTCTAGCTCATGAACTTGCCGTTGTTGTTGGCAAGATACAAGAGCGATGTTTCGGTCTATTCACAGTCTCCTACGAAACAGTCCTCACGCTCGACAAAGAAATCGATACCTGGAAAGGCAGGCTACCACCGTATTTCGAGTTAGAGGACCCAGACATCTCCAAAGATGACCGTCTCCCGTTTCTCCCTTGGCAGAGGTTACATCTACACAGCATGTACCATTTCGCACGGGTCACACTTCACCGGCCGTTCTTGCTCCGACAGTCAATCACGAATAGGTACAAACACAGTCACGACGTTTGCATAGCATCCGCCTGCGCGGACCTTGATATGGGTCTCAAGATGTTCAACCAACCTCTCAACGACCGGCTGAAATGGAGTCTAGGGCCACACAACCTCTTCAACAGTGCTCTGGTGCTGGGCATCATCGCTGTCCGCGATCCTCATTCTCGGCGTTCTCATGCTATTCTCGAAGACTTGTCCGCATACTGCGAGATGCAGAGAAACGATGTCTGGCTCAATGAGTTTGCCCTCGCCGAAGTCAAAATCGTTGAGCTCTGTGTCAAAAAGTCAAGGCAGTCTCACCCGCCTCCAGCCAACACCCTAGTACCACTGGCTCTAGCGTCAGCTTCGCCTAGCAGGCGCGTCTCCCAGCCCGTTGGTCAACCGCCAGTCATGGAGACACAACCTCAGTTACCAGTAGAGAGTCCCGACTTTGATCCTCTGATGGCCGGCTTGGGACTTCCTTACAGCACGACGAGCGCGCAGATGACATGGGATGACCCTGGATTCTTCCTTCCTGAGAGCGGTGACCTGTCACAATGGGAGCATGTGATCAACACTCTTATGCATGATCAAGCAAGCATATGATCTGAGTACAAATGCCATGATGATAGCTTGGAAGAAAATAAGGAAGTCACGTACCTAACTCTAGACCAGTGCAAGAGCTATGAGACACGCGTATTCAAGTACTAGCTACATGTATTGCTCGGTGTAGAAATCTAACATAACATCATCTAAAGTACCTTACCTAGTAAATCAGTATTGAACATCCGCTGTTGAGACCAAGTCAAATCATTCAATACCATGTAACACAGGCTTTCGGTCTACATTCGGAAGGCCATAAGCACATGGAGAGGTATTGAACGGGGGAAAGTCCTGAGTAGTCATTTACGACTGATGGAGATGAGTTGCCGGTTATTAAGACTCGCACACCAGAAAAATAATTATAACCTGAGAGAGCGTATTGTAGTTTCAGATGTTGTATTTTGCTCTCTATATTCCGCTACATCTTAGATCTCCACTCGCTTTCGCCGCTCGTCATAAGTAAATCAACTTCCCCCTTTCTCCTTACGCAGCGGGGCACTTGTCTCCGTTCTGAAGTAGCTGATTAGTATATAAAGACGTCTTTATGAGCAAAGGGTAGAATTACCTTGGAAATGTCACCTGGTGCAATGCACTTGCAGCCATCCTTGTTGTAGCGGACGCAGCACTGTCAACACAGTTAGTAACTTGTCTCGACACGAACCGATTCATCTACAAGTCCACTTCTGGTCTTCGTGAACGATGAACATTTCGGTGGGCCGTTTGCAGTGTGACTTACCCACGCACCGGCGCAACCGGCTCCAACGCCACCGCAGTGGCTCTTGATGCACTCCATACGGACTTCGAAGACGCTGTTGCTGCTAGTGCGCTCAGCAGCAACGCTAGCCATAGCCAGAGAGGCGGTGGCGAGGAGGATAAGCTGGGTGATGGTAGAGAACTGTATGATGGCAACTAAGTTGTTTAGTTGATAAATGGACTGGCTGGTTGGTTGAGTTGTTGGTTGAATGAGTGAATGGTTGATTGATTGACTGGCTGTTGATGAGGAGCTTCAATTGTAATGATTGCTGAGAGTCCAGCTTGGTATTTGTACTCTTGATCTGTTGGTATACAGCATCATTGCGAGTCGGCGCACGGCATTGCCTTCCCCGGTTATTGCGGCAGGCATAATTCTTCTTGCCCCGGAGGCTGACAACAATTAATCTCATTCAGAATCTATCACTAATCGAGGTAGCAAGTGGAAGACATGTATAGTAGAAAGTGGCTTGATTCCTCTAAGTGGAAGATCCGTATGAGGGTCATATCTATATACTGTACAAGCCGGGTAATCGGCTTGTGGAAAGCGGTATCGTACGGCAGTAACCGGCAGCGCCACGTGTGGCGCTGCGACAGAATCTGAAGCTTTATTTAATTATATTGACTTTGTCACGAAGTCCACAACGCGCTCTGTCCGAGTATCGGTGTCGGTTTCGGTTAGTTGCGAGTCAGCATGTGTGCACAGCAGCTATTACTTGCACAACAGACCGACATGCCTTTACTTACTAAGAGCTACGGAGTACTCCGTACAAAGCCCCCTTTAAGCTTTACATATAATTACCTTCTAGGATGGCTATAGCAAGGTTCGGCGATTACGGGGTATACATGTAATTTAATTGAGTCCTGAACCACTTTTCAAGGCCGCGACTCGTCGGCCTCAGATACTCGTATTCCACTTTCACCAGAGTTTAGGCTAATGAGTTGGGAGCTTCTCTATCTAGAGAAGTGATCGACACGCAATTACTCCCTATTTGTTGAACATCCAATCCCGTCAGATTGAGATGGCAACATCGTCACAACTCGTTGCACAATCTTTTGTCCATTACCGTATGGAGTACCAGAATACGATTTCCGTAGAAACCCCTCAACGGTATCCGTAGAGAGCCACATTCTGTCGGGTACGTAAAAGTCCGTCTAAGCCGATTCTTGGCCTTGTAAGGCTTAGGGGCCCCGGATGTCGGAGTTGCCCCGCAAGATATGTGCATAATGGCTGTGCATATCCGCATCGTCAGTGGAGAAGCAAGTCGCAGTTCCGGGAATTTGGAAACTCCAAGTCGTGCAGGGCGGAGGGTTTTACAATAATGCCCGTTTACTTGAGTAAGCAGTGTGATTCAATCTCGGAGTCCGATGCTGGACTCCTAAAGTCGAGTTAACTATCCCTAGGTGAGAGATGAAATGCCTAGCCCCATGTAACGAAGAACTAGGAGTCGACACTTCCATCAGAGAAATATGTGTGATAATCACTTGACAGTAGGTATTCCATGTGTGCTTCTCCCGCCTAGTGGACTCCATTTACCCTGACTTCTTTCACCCCATTCACTCCGTTTACCACTTTGACCCCACTGCTCCCATTCGTGTTCCGTTGGGGCCTCTCCTCATATTCCACCTTATTCACCAAGCTTCCCAGGCCGTGGCTCATAACGATGCGCAGGTCATCCCCGGGAGCCAAGAAAACAGGCGGAGTTCTGCTCACACCGATTCCGTGTGGGGTTCCCGTCATAATCACCGTCCCGGCTTCCAGCGTCGTGCCTTGAGACAAGTACGCCACGATCTCGGCGATGGAGAAAATCATATCGTCCCCTCTTCCCTCTTGCATCACCTGCCCGTTGAGAACCGTCTTCAACTCAATAAGTGAAGGGTCCGGGAGGCTGCTTGCGCTGACGATACACGGACCCATCGGGGCAAAGCCGTCGAATCCCTTTCCGAAACCCCATTGAGCTCCCGCGAACTGGTGCTTCCGCGCCGTGACGTCGTTGGAGCACATGTAACCAAGCACGTAGTCCATGGCATCCTCCACGCTGACGTTCCTCGCGTCACGGCCGATAATGACGGCCAGCTCGGCCTCGTAGTCTGCTTGCAGATCCGTTGCTTGATGGGGGATGAGTAGCGGTGCGTTTGACGCGTTAAGACAGCTTGCGGGCTTGAAGAAGAGGGTTGGGTGTTCTGGGAGGTCGAGGTTCATCTCTTTGGCATGTTTGCGATAGTTGAGGCCGATACAACGAATTGTCCCGATTTCTTTGCGTGTAAGGGGTGGGAGGAGCTTTTGGATGTTGAGGATCCTTGATGTTGGCTCTGCTGAGGGGTCCAGGGCTGAGGTTCCGTTGAAGACTCGAGCCGGAACAGGGAGAGATGCGGCCAGAGCAGCTCCGACTGTCCCGGGTGTCAGACAACATGATTTTATTTGCGCAGTAAGAAGTATCCATACCGTCGACAGTCTCATCGACTGGTTCGCCGATGTATTCCCTCCAATCATCTTCCGCGATGAATCTCACGAGACGTTCCCATTTCTAGAAGATCTGTTAGCAACGAGCATTTTGTGAATGCTGTGTCCTGCGAAGACCACCTACAGGTGTAATCATCTTGGCTGACTAGTTGTGAGACTCTGTTGACGAGAAGATCCAAATCAGATGCTTGACTTGCGCTTGCAGCTCCTGGTAAATTCAAATGAGCTTGTTTGCGATAAGAGCAAACATGGCATCATCTATGAGGCGGATATAAACACCCGTTTTCAGGAGACAGCCATGCCGGCCGTCGACCGGAAGCTTACTGCATCGAGTGACGTCGGTCATCCTCCGTTGTCGTGGCTTTTCCCGACAGTTTCGGGAAATATGATCGGCCTTTTCTCCAACACCAAGACAAGTATCCGCACCCAGATAACGTCGGAGATCCTCACCCCGCAATGCACACCCCCGTTGAATCAGAGATGGTTCGGTAGATAGATAAAGACTGCCCGACAATTATGTAAAATCCTGTCAACAGTCTGGGGAGAAACGTGACTCTATCCCTTTTCTCCAGACACGTACATGCGCAATACCCACTGGGCCACTTACCCGGACCTATCTCCGGTGGGCCCGGTTCCTCGGAGGCTCGAACGCTTGGGTCGGTCTTCCTGCCTCCGTTTTCACGAGCGGCGGGTTTCGAGAGACCCGCCTATCCGTACAGGTCCACGGCGATAGTTAGAAAGTTTTTTCTCGGCGAGGAACGTGGTGGCATGGCCGTCCCACTGAGGCCACTGAGTTAACTGAGGCCAAAGTTGTCTGTCACACTAGCTGATGGCCCAGCAAAATTTGCGACCCTTGAGTGGGTCACGTTCTCATCCACCTTCCCACAGCTTTCTTGAAATCAAAATGAGCAGGTACCTTTAACAATCAGAACAAGCACAATAGCTCAGGGGTAGAGCGCTGGGCTCATAACCCAGAGGTCCCTGGATCGAAACCAGGTTGTGCTATCGACACATTCCTTTTGCTTTTGTTCCCTTCAGTTGTTCCTTGTTCTATGCATATTTCCTCTTGTTCTAGAGGAGGGTGACGAAAATTTGGACGTCTACAGGGGACACAAGGAACAAAAGAAATCTTCTCAGCTTAAATTGGGTTGCTTTTTTGATTCTATATTGTTCAACTACCTACGTGTTCGTTGTAGAGTAGCTGTGCTCTCTTTCGCTGAGTTCAACGCCAAGGAGTCTTTATTGTAACTATGCTATGAGACGTTCCTCAGATCAAATCAAGATCATTGTATGCTGAATCTAATTCGAGTCTGTTCACCTAATGGCCTTTGTTCTAGTGGATTCTGTGGTCGCTAGTAGTATTTAAGTAAGGTCAACATCGCCCACAGGATGCTTGTAAGTGTTTCCAGTCTTCCAATCCAGAGCGTTTATTCACAGCCCTTCCAACATTTGTCAACGTATACATAAGTTTCAAGCGCTTCTTCCGCATTTCAAAGCTTCCACTTGGTTTGATACGATCAAATGGATCCGCCAATGACGCCCACCGATCATTATAGTGTTCTTGGCATCAGGAATGACGCAACGCAAGAACACATCGAAGACGCATTCTATGGCATAGTGGAGAGATTTCTCCAGAATGGCCAGCATGAATCACCTAGCAGATCCGAAAAGCACCCGAATGGAATCTTACTAGCCAGTTCATCCAAAACCCAACGTGCAAATGGGACACTGATCAAACAGTCTTCAATTCGTCATCGAATGCAGATCACAAAAGCTTTCGAAGTTCTCATTGACCCCCTTCAGCGCACGCAATATGACAAATCAAGACAACCCGTGGTCAAGGCTATGTTCGTGGCAAAGAACTTGCGCCTCCGCAAATTCTCGGCATGGGACAAAGAGTCTAAGGAGAATATGCCATCGGCGATCGCAATGGTGAGCGTCAAACAAAAGCTGAAAGAAAAGTTGAAGAAGGGCAAGAATCGATTGAACGCGGCTTTGGAGACAACCGCGCACAAGGCAAAAGAGGCTGAGGCGCGACGCAAGTCTCGGTGGTGGCCTGAAGTGCTTGCAACTCCCCAAGAAGAGGAGTTCTACCAGCAACCGACGATGCCACAACCTCAACTTCAAGAGCCTCAGAACGAGTACTATGAAGAAGAAGTTTCGGAGACCCCAATGTCTTATGAAGACTTTTACAATGCTCCCAAAGACTACCAACTTCAGAATCGGGCTGCTACTGACTTGTACACTAGGGATTCGAAAAGCTTCAATGAGGCTATAGAACCAAAAGAGATGAAAATGCCAAGTCCGCCCAATAAGGCGCGGCTTGTCCCTCTAGGGCGACAGCCGACATGCATAGACAACGGGCTTCATGGGTGGAAGGGATGGTATCCAACTAACAACGGCCTTTCGCCTCCGGAATGTCCCATCTGCGAGAACTTTGATTCGAAGTATTTCTGTACGAAGTGCGACGCCACAAGTTGCATGATGTGCAGGCTTACTTAGCAAGAATTCGTCTTGGAATTTGGTACTTGTGGCTCTCGTTAGATTTGACAATTTACTTTGTGTCAGTATTAGAAATGATGCGAGAAACTAACGCCTTTTTCGCAAACAACTTTCCTGCTTCCCACGATTGATTCAGTACAAGTTGTACAGCTACAGAGCGCTGCCCCACATCTCCAATCAGCAAGTGAAAGGCAAGGCAACGAGTGCGTGCGTGAATGCGCTAAATAGAGTTGCCAAGAAGTGGAATGGCGTTAAAAGACAGAGTTTGATTTTGCAGCTGTCGTCCGAAGTCCAAACAATACCATTCGCAACCGCCAGGGGAAGACACAAAGGATGTCGCGATGGAACACTTCAGCTTGACTCCCAATATGAGCTACAATTTGGAAATGGCTTAACATCTCTACTCTTCAATGAGTTGTCCAATGGGCGTTGTGGCAGAGTGGTCTAATGCGCAAGACTAGAAATCTTGTTCCTTCGGGAGCGTCTGTTCGAATCAGGCCAACGTCGACTTTCGCTTTTGCCTGATGTGACTCTTTGCCTTTGAGTCATCGGCTGGATAGTCTATGAGCTCTTTCAGAAATAAGAGTGTTTGTTTTTAGCAGTAGACAAGATTATGTAAGAACTTGTACGGTAGTTACCTTACTCAGGTGCCTACTGTGAAGGATTTTGCTCCTTGGTTTTTAACCTTCTTGGGATTGGTGCGCATTTGTAAGCGGGGTCTCATCAGCCTACCTCTCAGCTTCAAGCCACGACCTCATCCATTTAACTACCTTGCCCCTTTCAATAGGATGAGACGAATCTGGACCAAGTTCTTCTCTCTTTCTCAACCACTTTAATATTCTGATTTGTAACGCATCAAGTAACAGAACCTCGGGAAACACATAGACATAAGACCTGGCAATTTGTGCAAGCTATGGATACATCCAAAACGAAAAGAGTCAGAAGGAGAAAGGTGAGTGGCCCCAACTCGCCATGACTATTGAGCTGGGTCAAAGAAACTTTCATTGAGACTGACTGCAAGCCTCTACCTCGCAGGCTTGCGATTTATGCTACCATAAGAAGATTAAATGTGATGCAAAACAGCCACGGTGTTCAGGGTGTAATCTGTACAGTTCGGAGTGCACTTACACTGGCCCGACAAGGGCAGCAACCGTGAAGTCCAATCAGTAAGTTCACATTTTAACCATTATTCAGAACGAGTCGATCGGCTGACGTCTCAACAGAGTCAAGAAAATTGAGATGCTGGAAGCAAGGCTAGCACAATTGGAGGCACAGAAGCAGCCTGTGCCCCGGGCAGCCGACCCAGACTTCGCTCTGACATCGATAGATCCAGGTACGGCTACAAGTATCTCTGAAGAGGAGCATAATCTCTGGGCTGCAAGCACCTCAACACTGGAGGAATCACCCCACTCTTCTACAAACCCGGGCTTGGGCATCTCAGGCCACGAGTCCAGCATGACACTTCCACCTCTCCGTCAGATCTTGCCTTCAATAGAAGACTACTTCCAGAACTCGAACCAAGTCCTTCCGCTGTTTGAGCGAGAAATCTTCGTCAAGATGCTGCGAAGTTGGTACGCATACCCAGCGCACCGTAAAGCAGACGTCTGGGCCGCCATCAACGTCGTCTTGGCCCTCACGCATCGGCACTCCTACGCGTCCAGCTACGAAGAGACACAGAATATGCAATGGTACATCGACAACGTCCAATCAGTCCTGAATAAGTTGGTCATCAATGAACCGAGCATGCTGGTCTTGCAGACCCTCCTTGGACTGGTTCTAGTTTTCCATGGCTCAGCGGACCAGGGCCCGGCGTCCATACTCATAGCAACTGCAATCAGGCTGTGCCAGAGTCTTAGACTTAATACGAAGTCTACCTCGCAGGAGTTCGAGCCGGCTGAGGCTCTCCAGAGGAGCCGAGTCTTTTGGGTCGCGTTCATACTCGACCGCGATCTATCAATGAGATTGACACAGCCACCTCTTCATCAGGAGTCAGATATCGACGTAGATATCCCATGTCTAACTCCTCCAGACGATGTAGGTATGATCATGGGTTTGTCTGGCCAAAAATTCAATTACTTCCGCAGCTCTGTTCAGCTCGCCTACATCCAGGGAAAGCTATACCACATGTGTTTCTCCGTTCGAGCTCTCAAGCTTCCAGACCAAGAAAGAAGTCAAAACATGCTTCGTGTTCGAACGATGCTGGAGAATTGGCAATACTCAATACCTCTCGACTTCCAGCCAGAGCTTGCAGCAGCAACCGTGGCCGCGGAGTACCTTCGATACATTTGTCTGCTTCACTACACCCACCTGCAGCTCATCGCGACAACGCACTATGCAGACTCGCACCATCTCGAGTGGCTTCAAGGGCAGCTCAGCTGTAACAAGGGGAATACCCCGGCAGCGCGGTCCGACTTGACAACACGGCTTCCAAACTGCTGGGAAAAGCTGGTTACGGGGTCGCGAACTTGCATGCATCTCTATGCTGCAACACCCGAGAACGACTCTGCTCTTACTTGGTATTTGGGAGTTCCTTCTCCATTTCTCACGGTTAGTGCTAATAATGTCGTTGTAGGCTTGTGTCGTGCGGCTATTTGACGAGCATCATGTTCATCTCAGTCAATAACCTGGCCTGTCCAGATAACCCGTGCCGACTTAATGATCAAAGCAATGTCGACTCAGCCTTGCTCCTCCTCGAGCGTCTGATCAACGCTACAGACGATGAACGACTCAAGAGGATTCACAGTGCTTGCAAGGAAATCAACGAGAGAGCGCGACTTATCATTGTATCAAGGCTATCAGAAGAATTCCCACGATTCGATCCTCCCGGCCTTGAATTCGGAGACGAAGACCCTCTTGATGACGGACGATGGGGATTAGTAGGCGGCGATTCCTGGACGATAGACGAGTATGCCACAACTTTATCTTGTCATTCTGAAAAATAAGGCAGTAGGCATCAAGGCAAGTCCTAAGAAAAGAAAATCAGGGCAGGGTTGAGGGTGACGTCTGAGAACAGTGGCAGGAGCAACCTTGGACTATCCAAAATGTTGTTACTCCTGATCGGACGCACCTTACAATCTCTTTGTCCGCAATGCATGCCACAATATCTACTGTTTTTGAGAGACTTAAAGATGCAAAATGCATGGGATAATCCACAGAGCCAAGTGAATCATTCCATGTCTGAATTCCGCCTGACGGAAGGTGCCTTGGTGCCTGTCCTTCCGGTGCCTGCCACCTTGCCCTTGCCTCCTTCCCAAAAGACTACTCGCTCTCTCCTTCCCACCCCAGGTAATTAATTGACTCTGATTCTCCAAATTTCACACTTCCTTGGTTTTTCACAAAAGGTTCGAACTCCCAGCCTCTCACCATCAATTCTCTCTTCTCATCTTCTTCCGACAATAGTCAATTCTCCCGAACCTCGAGAAGGATGGCCGACCCCGATGATCTTCGCATCGCTGTAGGCATCCCGTTGCCTGCTGATGTGGACGATGACTACTTCGCCTTGCAGCCGTTGACTCCGTGAGCTCAACCCTCAATATTGCAGCATCCCGATGTGGGGATTTCATATTCTTGTTCACTAACCCGTTGTTTTCCTAGTGATTCTGAGGAGCTCGTCACACTCAAATGCGACGAAGAGGTCTTCAACTTCAGCAAGTTCAAGCTGACCAAAGACTCTGACTACTCCTGAGCATGCCTCAACAACTCCACTTTCGTCGAGGGCAGAACCTCTATCATCGAATTCGACGATATCGAACCAGAGCTTCTCGAGGCTTATCTCCGTATCGTCGACATTACAGCTACGGGCGAATCAATCGACATCAAGGAGTTCCTAGCCAGCAGCAAAGAGTACAACGAAGCTGCGGATGACATTATTCCCGTGATCAAAGTTAACCAACTTTCCGACCGGTTGCTGAACGAACCCATGCATGCTGAACTGAGCCAGTGTATTCTGGAGTACTTGCGGAAGGGAGCAGTCACCAAGGAGGACAAGTCATCGCCAGAGGGCATGAAACGGCTGTTCAACACATACAAGAACGCATACAACACCTTGGATCCCAGCATCTCCGATGAGGCCGATCTTCAGGTCCAGATTGCAGAAGTTTGCTGTCCCCGAATCGACATGGATGAAACCTACGCTCTTACCCGCATTTCTTCTGAAAGCGACGCTTTCCTGGTAGCCGTGCTGAGAGCCGCAACCCAGCGCGTGAATACTCTTCTGAAGCAGACCAAATCTCTCAGCGCGAAGGTGAAGCGTCTCAAAAGGGATATCTGGATCTTGACCGATCCAAGAGACTCGGAGGCGCACTGCGGCGAGCTGGCAAACTACGTGAGAGATGACTATGACCCTTTCGATGGCTATCCCGATTTATACACAGATGCTTGGTTCATCGCACATGGGGACGATGAGGATGAAGATGATGAAGATGACGACGAGGAAGAAGATGGTTGTCATTAATGGAGACTACAGCGTGCTTCAAGATCATTGAAGACGGGACTGTAGCTCGTCACTCAATCATTGGACGAACGCGATAGTTGGAAGCAGGAAAAGGTCCAGACTCTTTGTGCCTGGGCTATCAATTTGTGTTTTGAGGTCAGCCCAACAGATCAACACATTTATGTATACGTTACGCTCATTACTCTCCCGAGACAATCAAAAACTGTACAAAAAGACGGTGACAATCAGGTATGCACATGATTGTTGGCCACTCACTTCTGCCGTGTTTACTGCCTTGGAGTACGCAATTACTTAGCTCTCAAATTTCCAGCTCCCCCATTGCCATAAAGTAGTAAACATAATGCCGGTAAGGCACTTGAGCGGGATTTCCAAGCAGACCAATGGTCTTCTGAGAGTTCATAATGCATAGATAAATGCGCGCTGGGTTGAAGAGCACAGAGGACTATCATCTAACAGCGGCCGCCCTCTTACTTGGCTTTCCTCCCTCTACAGCGTCACGGTGTAGTAAGTCTACGCACACACATGACTTTGGTTTCTCATCGAAGAGGATACCTGGTCTACATACGTTCCAGATTGCCAGGGCTGCGACCTATTTAAACGAGCAAAGCGTATTGAGAGCGGTAGCAGGAAGATGATTCGATTGCAACCTGGTCATCCAAGAGTCCCGGGGGCAACATTTGCAGCATTATTACAACTCGAGTGTAACTCACACAATGCCTCGCATGTCAACTCACTGAATGCCGAGAATATCAGCGCTTGTCCTGCGTACCTGCCGTCATTCTCTCTTCTTGCCGACGATTGGCGTTGAAGCAGGCATCGGAAGGAGCTTTGACAGAGGTGCATCAGCTAGTTACATTGCATTTCCATAGCTGGAATGCCACACGCGGATCATTGGCTGCTTGCATGTGAAGCCAACAGACTGTCCTGCAGCTTACTCTTTCGTATTCTCAATGAGGAGCCAGGTCGCAATCTGACACAACATGCTACCAACAAAAGAAGGTGGAACTTCTTCATGCCTCTCTAGGCCTGCTTACCTACATAGAGCTCAACATTGGCCGCTCGAGGTGCTCCGTTCGGCACGCGTGGATGAAGTTGTGGTGAGGGGTGCACACTTGGCATAACATGCCGAGATAATGATATGTGAGCTGCCGCCGACTCCCCGCATGGAAGTCAGCAGAGCAGATGATGGCTCGAAATTATGCGCGAACCTCACTTTTGTCCTCTCGGAATTTCTCTCTCATTCTCCCTCGCCCCTGCCTCTTTTCATCGCTCACGGATATCTTCGAATTGAAATCATGGCATTCATGTTTCTGATCCCACTGGCGATTGTAGCATTTGCCGTCTTCAAGCTGCGGAATGTCGGTCGACGGCCCAAGAACTATCCCCCAGGGCCTCCTACATTACCACTCATTGGCAACTTGCACCAAATTCCACCGAAGCAATCGCATCATCAGTTCAAGGAATGGGCTAAAGAGTATGGGTATGTTCAGCGAGGCACACACCCAGCTAAGTGGTTATAAGTATCTATACACTGACATTGGCGTCTCGAATAGCCCAGTCTACTCGCTCATTCTCGGCACCAAAGTCATGATCGTGCTCTCGTCCGACCGGGCAGTCAAGGACCTCTTGGACAAACGCAGCAACATCTACTCCTCTCGCACAGATCTCTACCTCGGAAATGTAGTCAGCGGCAACCTCCGCGTCGTCATGATGGTTAGTTGCCCGGCACGTCCGATGAAAGAATGAAGGCCATTGATCCTTGGGCTAACGAAACAAAAGCAATACGGCGAAACATGGCGCATGATCCGAAAGATATTCCACCAAGTCCTACACATCAACGCCGCCAAGGGCTACGTCCCATACCAAGACCTCGAGAGCAAACAGATGCTGTCCGGCTTCCTCGAAGAGCCGGACTCCTTTGTCGATCATATCCGCCGATTCACGACCTCACTGACGACGCAAATGGTGTTTGGTTTCCGTACGACGAACATACACGACGAGAAGCTGAAGAGGCTGTACCACTGCGTCGAGAGGTGGAGCGAGGTCGTGGGTTCCTCTGCGGCTGCTCTCTTAGACGTGTACCCGCCCCTGAGGAACCTCGGCTTCATGTCGCCTGGGAAAAGATACGCCGAGGCGCTGCATAAGGAAGAGAGAGCTCTTTATGTCGGACACTGGATGGATGCGAAGGAGCGTGTTGTCACAGGCACGGCAAAGGTAAATACTGCCCTGTATCCGAGATCCCACCATGCATACTGACCAAAGCTAAGCCCTGTTTCTGCATGGGCATCGTCGAGAGCCAAAAGACTCTCGGTTTCTCAGACGCCCTTGCCGGCTACATCTCCGGGTCCGCTCTCGAAGCTGGATCAGACACCACCGCCTCCACGCTGACCGGCTTCGTCCAGGCCATGGTCCTGCACCCCTCCGTACAGAAGCAGGCCCAGGAAGAACTGGATCGCGTCTGCGGTACCGATAGACTTCCGACCATGGACGACTGGGACTCCATGCCCTACATACGGGCGTGTATCAAAGAGTCCCTGCGCTGGATGCCGACCGCGATCCTCGGCCTACCGCACGCCGTCATACAGGACGATGAGTACATGGGCTACAAGATCCCCAAGGGCGCGGGCGTCATGCTGAATGTCTGGGCGATCAACATGGACGAGAACCGGTTCGAGAATGTCCGCGCTTTTGATCCCTCTCGCTACAAAGACGACGAGCAGAACTCATTCGAGTCGGCGATGAATGGTGACCCGTCGAAGCGCGATCACTACGTCTTTGGCGCTGGCCGGCGGCTTTGCCAGGGAACGCATATCGCTGATCGATCACTGTTCCTGAGTATTTCGAGGTTGCTGTGGGCTTTCGACCTTGAGAAGGCAGTTGATGCTGAAGGTGTTGAGATTACCCCGGACGCGGATGACCTCACTGACGGGTTTTTGGTCCAGCCGAGACCGTTCCCTGCGAAGATTACGCCGAGGAGCGATGCTCATGTGCAGGTTATCCGGATGGAGTGGGAAGCGAGTCAAGCCTTTCTGGATGAGAGTAAGCAGTGGAAAGAGATCCCGAGCGGAATGGTTTTCGAGTCTTTGGTGTCGTCGGATTTCAAATAGTGAACTGATCAGTATTGTGGGGGTGGGATACAAGACCTGTTCAGGACCATCACATAAGTATAGCCTTTGAGCAGCTCTGGATAACTGAATGAACTGTAAAATTGTCTCTCATGATTTGTGATCTTAGGACCTATAGGGTCCCTCGATCGCTACTTCAAGGGGCTAATCACTGACTCTGAAGGCTTCCAGGCCTTCCTCTGCGTAACAGACTTCTTCCAGAAGATCTGCCCGCGGTACTAGGAGATAGGTCATAACCTATCCTCCAAACGACAAACTACCTCTATTAAGAAACCAGATGGTTATAACGGAACTAGGGCACCAGTGGGAACTAGGGATGGATAGAACACATAGTAGCTCACGAGCAAGACTTGGAGGACGTCAGGATACGGCGTGTACTATATAGTATATAGCTAGAGCCTGCGACCCTCAACGCCACATACCCTCCGGGAGGTCTGCCGCAAGGGCGGCTGCGCCCTTGCCGCCATGGCGTTAAATATAAAACAAACAACAAACAAACAAACAATTTGTGATCTTCGTTAACGTTGGAAACATCGTCATGCCCACTTATGCTTTGAACTTTTCGGGCGCCCTCTCCTCGGCCTGGTCCTGAGGCACTGCCTTTGCCTTTCCTCTTCCGGGTGCGTTCTCGAACTTGTCCTTCCACTTACCCTCCTGATTGAACATGGTGAGGCACTGGATTGCTGATGGCTTGCCGTATTCTGGGTCAGCACCACCCTCCAGAAGGACCTTGCAACCCCCACGTTAGCAACATGAAAAAGCAGTCCTCGCTTCCCTACACAAGGAAGGCGCAGTGCCTCCACAACTTACCTCAATTACTGCGTCCAGGCCCTTAAAGACAGCGCCCGCGATGGGACTTTGACGCTTATCATTCAGTCTGTTGGGGTCAGCTCCATGCTGGATCAGGAGCTTCACCACGTCCGCATGACCGTAGTACGCGGCCAACATTAGCTACATGAGATGTTAGCCACGAGGTGACATGAGAACTAGCAGCCTTCAAGTCTCCAGCCTGAACGCTGAAGACGGGCTGCCCGCGCCTCGGGACAGCCACTGAGGTGAGCATTGCTACGCACCAATGTGTCTCCCTTCTCATTCGTCAGGTTCGGCGGCAGACCGTCGAGGATGCCCTCCTCAATGACAGCCTTGTTGCCTTCGCGGGCCGCATTGTACATGCTGGCGGCCAACCTGACGGCCTCCAGTGATGGCGAGAACGCCGTAGCGGATGTCAACGCGCTCATGTTTTCTTTTGGTATATCGAACGACGAATTGCGCAATAGTCTCCGAACGGGTGTAGCACTTAGTAATGCTGATAATGATGGTGGTTCCTCGCGGCGGAGGGCGACACTAGGATGAATAGGACAGGCAAGGTCGTGGCCCAGCGTCTGGTATCCGGTGAGGTCGGAGGGGAATGTTCGAGAAATGCCCGGTTAGTAAGCTGGGCTGTTGATTGGCTCGGGCTGTGTAGGGACTCCGTGCAGTACCGGAAGTGGTGGCTGCCAGAGTCACAAATGGGTCCCACTTTTACTTGCTAAGAATAAACGTGTCCAAGACTCTTTGTTCTACCTTACTGCCTTACCTTGTACGATGCTCGCTTTCGGATTGTCTTGTTTGCTATCAGCAAAACTTCCACTTAGCTATCCATTCTTTTTACAAAGTTTCCATCCAAGAGGCAGTTTTTGAATTTCAATTGCGACAGTTGAATGCACTGCTATTGTCAATTGAGTTGCTAATGTTTGCTGAACCTGATGTCTAAACGCAACACTTTCACTGCCAAAGTTTGAATAGTACTTACGTTGAATGGACTAGGTACCTCTCTGAAAGCAAGGCTCACACGTATTGCCTCCCTTCTTTAAGGCCTGTTTCCAGCAGACTCCGCTCTACTTAAACACAAACAAGACAATCATGACCAAGATATGCAGTATCCATCAGACTCTATTACTGGAGTAAAAGTCTGAGGGATGCCAACTTTGGGTATAAATACTAGCCTGTGCTCGCAGGGGTCTGAGATATGAAGTTGACAGATACCGCCTTAGTCGGCCGTCCAGAGACGCACTTTCATTTGCTGCACTCAATTATATTACCATGAATATGGAATCACCTTATGAAAATGGGGTGGAAGTACCTCAGTCTTCTGTGTCTCAATTAGATTTAGTCACCCGAAGAGCAACGCCATCACGGAACATCATCTCAGCCGTCTTTTCAAGCTTCCTAAGGTAACTTTCCGCTTGCCTATATTGGCCAGCTTGACTCTCAGCAGAGGGAGAGGGTGAACATCGGCCTACAGTACGGCACTTTGCAGACATTTCTTACTTCACCTTGTACATGGTTGTGTTAGTGTTGGGGGGAAATGAGTTTCAGCTTTCGTTGCAAGGACGCCAGTCTCCATTCCGGCACAGCTCCTACATCTTGGCTAGGACAAATATTTGAACCGCCGAGATATGAGCAGATCTCTTCAAATATACTTCGTCGTCACTCTCAGTTCAACCTGCCTCGGGCCCTTCTTCAGGGGTGTCGACTTAACAGCATATCATAAGTTGGAAGCGAAGATGAGCACCTGCAGCCAACTCTCAGAAGGTGAGGTAATGTGCTCTGAATACCATATCTTTCTAAGGATGGCGTTGAACAAAGATAGTGGTGACAACAATAGCAACAGATCTTGCACTGTCACGATGTACGCTTCCCATCAGCACTTTGTGGCCCGTGGGTTGTTCATAAACCCGTTCTTATTCGGCAGTCCGACTTTTTCAAAAGTAGTCTTGGGTACGGTCCCGAAGATCCGGGAAGCTCAGTGGTCTTACTTATCCCGTCACCCCCTATACCAGATTCTCCATCATGAGAGTCAGGCAGTTATATGGTTGCCTCGTCTGCTCCGTGTGCCATTTGGGCATCATCTCGATGGCTGGATCGCCCTATTTCATCTCAACAGGCTCTAATAATCCATCGATGTGTTCCGAAATCCGGGATTTATAATCCTTGTGGATGCCATCATCCACTGCACGTCTTCTTCTGAGGTTGCTTCACTAGCACATGTTATCTCACCTCAGAGACTGAAGACGCAGTAATCGGCGGCTTCTTCAAGGCCATCGCAGCACGCAAGCATGACGATGCTGACGCAGATGCGAAGAAGCCTGCCAAGAAACAGAAGATCCCGCTCCTCCTTCAGGCTATCTAACATAAGGAGGACATCGCCGCAATCATCGCGGAAGACATCTTTCAGGACAAACTTGATAAGGCGAACGAGGTTGAATTGAAAGGCATCCTAGTCTCTTAACATTGAACCCGGGACCCAAGGCTTCGAGAAAGCTTTTGCGACCACATTGTCGAGGGCATTTGCGAACAAGTTCGTTCCGATGTCCTATCAACTTGCAAAGCAAGATTCTACTTTGGAGTCTCACCCTTCATCACACCAGAATATATTTACAGGGCCGATGACTCGATGTCCTCTTCCTTCGGCCTGACTTTCACTTCAGTACCTTGCCGCAGCGGAATACGGAAATCATCCCCATCGAGTGTGCCTATGCATGCTATTGATTCACATTTCACACATTCGCTGTTGAAGAGGCCAGAGATAATAGCTTTTAGGGCCTCGGCACACTTTGCGATTTCTAGGACAAACTGACCTGGTTCAAAGACCGTCGTCGTCATAACTTTGAACTAAGATTTCTATTAGTCGAGAGGTGGGATGTAGGCGATAATGTATGGGCTATCTTGGGCTGATAAGAAACATTATGACGAAGAGTGACTTGGCAAAGCTTCTGGGGTAGAAGCCAAGCAGGTCGGGAAACGATTTCGGGAACCGTTGTTCCATAAGTTTGAGGTCATTCTTGGAGGAACGAGGGGCGAACGAGGGCACGGGAGAGAGCTTAGGCGATGGAGGCGAAGGGTGCAGCTTGAACCAACGAGATGTACTAAACAGAACTTATGGTTACTGTAGCTGGCCGTAGCTCTGAACCATTAAGGGAACACCAATCTGAGGAAATGTGAAAATGATAAGAATGTTTTAATAGATCGAGCCCCATGTAACTTTTCCGGTGCTCGCTGAAACCTTGATGGGCTGGGTTTCTCTTGGGCACTTGTCGTGAAAATTATGTTAGTACCTGAACAGGACGTCTCTCTGAAGGAAAGACGAGGATATCAAGAATTCAGTATCAGTCGCTGCAGCTCGGCTAAGGCATCCAGCTTCTACACCATCTTTCCATCTCTCTAAAACTGCCAGATGAAATTTACCCAGTATGGCTGGCTGGACCGGAGATGGGAAGGTAAAGGCTTGACAGGCGGGCCCTTTCTCCGTTGCCCCCTTCCTCTCTTACACCTTCCGTCTTCTACCTCTCCAATTCATGAATCATCCTCGTCTTCTCCTACTTTCTTTTCTAAAGGCAAACACCTCAATAAACAACAGGCAAAGTTATCCCCATCGTCGTTTACCCCCGCCCTTCTCGACTCAGTATTTTACAATGCATAATACACTGGAAGCCAAGATGGACCGAGACGGAGAGGTTCTCTTTCCTATTGAGTATTGTGCACCGATCGACCCCAAAAGAATTCTCCTAACAATAAGTAGTAGCAAGGATACTGGCGACCAAGTTCGCATTGTGATCGAGTGTGCCGATCACAAGCCCTTGGTGGTCCAGAAATCCCTTATCACTAGGCACTCCGACTACTTCAAAGCCTGCCTGAAACACGATTTCCAGGAATCGAGGAATTCCACCATCCAACTCCTCGAAGTTGACGCCGACTTGATGACTTTGTACCTGAGTTTCGCACATCGCCAATTCAATAAATCCAAGAAGTCGCCCAAGCTCGGAAGTGTCGGCATCATCTCGACTACCGATTTCCCCAACGTCGCCGACTGGCCGCGCCTCATCAACCTCTACCAGCTCCTCGACTATATCCAAAACAAGGAGCTCCTACAGATCGCAGGCCGCTTTATCCAACAGGTCATCTCTTTCAGACACTGCTCCATGCTCACACCCGCGACGGAAGGCACAGAAGTCGACCGCTTCTTCGAGGCCTATGCGAATGCCTTTGACACGCTCGACCCCGACCATCCAGCCCAGGCCAAGTTCGGAGATGAAATGGTCGCACGATTCTTCAGGCGAGTCCATTGTGATGTTCTTGTTAGCCATCATCACGCGTTAGAGTCCCATCCCGAGTTCGTTGCTAAGATTAGCCGAAGACAGTCGGAGTACGTTGCGTCCAGGACGCACCAAGATGTTGAGGAGTTGTGTGGCCTCCGAAAGGTTTCTGGGAGGATGAAGTGGGCTAGGCGGGAATATCTACGAGCAGTTCTCGATTAGAGTCTAAAGGGCTAGATAGGCTGCGGAAATGGGATTAACATGAAGGAGGGCTAAAATGGAAAAGGCATTCATGGCCACTTTGCAGTAGGCAGACCGGTCGTGTTTTGCGCCTACCTAAAGTACAATAAAGAACGGTCTCTTCAACTCAAACGGCGCTTTGATGATGTTGTCGGATTGGAAGCCCAATTCGACCGTGAGTAAGGGTAGAGCAGGGGCCACCTCGAGAGGGTACAATTACACCTCGACGGTCCACCCAACCTCCGGTTGGAATCTCCCTTCTACTCCTTACGGGAATCAACCAATACAGAGATATTGATACTTCGTCACCCCAGGGACCCTACGGTTCGAACCAATACCCTGTGATAGGGATACCAACAGATGTACTACAAATTACATGTATGCCCTCCAGGAATGTTGTTCCTCGACGATGTCCTGGAGTTATCTCTCTTACTGGCCACCTAAATCGAGGCAGTAGAGTTGTAGTTAAGGGAACCTGGATACCTTGTTGTCGAATTCCAGGTTTAAGGTTGATGGGAGCACAGTCTTGTGGCGGTAGTCACGCTGATACAACAGACTGTAAGTCCCTTGGTGGATAGAAAGGGCTTTCTTCGAGCTTAAATAGTTATATCAGGTGCCGTTTCCACTAGGTGGGTTTTTTGTCGAGAATTTCTCCGTGGCCAACTTCCAATAAATCCAAGTCACTCTTGACCCAAATTTTCGATAAACTTCTTCAGAAATCACCCCTCATATCAAGAGTATTTCATCGGTATCATGGATATTTCCAAGACAGAGCCCGACGTCGAAAAAGGACCACCTAGCGATGGCGACAAGAACCACCGGGTCTACACTTGCCTTGATTATGTCGTAGATCGCATTTCCCAGGCTTTTAAGTAGGTCCATACCTAATATAGATGGTCCAGAATGATGCTAATCTTCTCAATTGGTCCGTTAGTGACTCCGTTCCAGATGTACAACATATACAACATTCTAGAATGCCTCGAAAATAAGCATGCGCTTCCAATATCATTATTTGTTGGTGGAATGATGTTTTTTATTTGGTTCTTGGCCTTTGATTACCTCGATGGACGCCATACTTCAACGCTGGAGGAAACGTCGGATACGTCACTGGTCGATGGGTCATCGATGTCGTCCAGTTGGGAGATATGGGACACTACACCCTTATCGGAAAGCTCGAACATCACGGATGGAGATGAGAGGAAACAAAGCAGTGATCTTATTGTCTTTGCATAAACTAGTGCAGTGAATTTGGAGTGACGGCGAGTCCTGCGCTTGGAATAGGAGCAGCATGCCGATATACTCTATTTGTGATCCCCCATAGGCCGCGCCTGCACAGTATTTTCTAATAGATCAAATTCCACAATACATACTTGGCTGTTCTTGAGAGTCACATATGGCTAGGTACTATTACCTTGCTGATCTGGATTTACATGTTCGAATATTATGCTGCAATGAAGACACTGTAGATAATCGTACGAGAAAAAGGACTCGAGATGATTGAGATAGCCTCGATTAAGGACCAAACTATCATACGAAGCAGCCGGAAGCCACAAAGCGCGTCAAGCTTCAAAACGCTTTCATAATTCAGGGGTATCAAATGCACCATGTCTACCATCGAAGCAAGTGCTCCCCCCCTCACTTCGCTCTGACCTTTCGAATAACAACCTTTGCCCCATCAAGCTCCCATCCAACACCGTGATCCCTCGTCAACGACTTCCAGCCCTGACCGGAACACTTCTCCAACCACTCCCTATCAACGCCCAAATACGTCCTCCCAAAGCACTTGAGTACATGCGTCCGCACATCCGCCTCAGCAAACTCGAGCAACTTGGCCCGGTGCCCGTCCACGCTCCCCTGCACCCTCCGAAACGCAACGTAATTATCGTGCGCCAGCGCTGCCAGCACGGCATCCACTTTGGCCTCGCGCAGCTTATACCGGTGCCGGATCGCATACGCCTCCGCCAGGTCTGCCCTTCGACACGCCGCGTCGAGGACGAGATATGACAACACCTCCTGCAGCTCTACGCTGGTGAGGTTGCGCACCGGGTGGATCGTGCGCAGGACGTGGAGGATGGCCGGGTGGTAGGACTCCGGATGCTTGACGAGGACCGAGAGGCGGATGTTGAAGAGGTATGCCTGGATGGCGAAATCGTCTACGCGCTTCGAGGCCACGATGCCCTCGCGGAGCTTGCGGAGGGCCATCATTACGTCCGAGAGGGCCTTTGTGCTGGAGGGGTCGTCGAGGAGTCTGGGGGAGGCGGTGGGGGAGACGGAAGGGTAATCTACGATGTCGAGGGAGGCGAAGCGGCGGAGGAGTTCGTCGCGCTCGCCGGCGTCGGAGCAGAACGTCATGTAGCGTTCGACAATCTTTGTGTAGTATTGTTCTTGCGTCTTGAAGGTTAGGAGTCTGGGTAGGCGCATTGGTTAGGATAGGATACTGAGGAACGGAACTGAGAGTTGCAGGCTCTACCTTGTGTCACCCTTTGAAGGAAGGCCGTAGTTGTCGAGAGGATCCAAGTCGACGGGCTTGAGTCTCCCCCAGGGTCCTGAATGTGAACGGCCTCCTCTGCCGGGGCCACCTCCACCACCGCCGCTGGCCCCTCTTACTATGCCTCCTCCTCTTCCTCCTCCTCTTCCGCCGCGAAACCCTCTGTTGCCGCCTCCTCTCCAATCCCCTCCTCCTACTCCTCGATCTCCGCTGGTTGACATGGCTGTAGACTGGTGGGTTTCGAAGCTTGGCACCACGGGGTGTTGACACGGCCTGGTGCAGGAAGCATGTCGTCAAAACAGAGACGGAGACATCCCACCTTCCCCCTTATCTTATCTATTCCCCTAAATCGGGGCGCCAAGGCCTGAGCTTGGGTGCCACCAAAACGTCAATTCCACGAATTAATGTGAGAAGTTGAGGTGCTCTTTCCGATGGCCATGTTGTACCTCGTAATATCCTCCAACGAATTACTTGGAAATGCAGCCATGAGAAATCAACCTCATTGCTACTCAATGACCTCGAAAATTGACTCGTTGGAGCTAGATCATACAATGCGTACAGCGATTTCGTCGCCCGGGCCCGACGGCTCTACCCCACTACCGGTACCTCGTCACCTCGTCTAGGACCGGGAATGCGACCCGCGTGGAACCTCGGCAGCCCAGGGGTCTTCAACTTGGAGCTCCAATGACACTTCGATCCTTGTAGAGCTGTCCCTCAGATCTCACTCTCGACTCTGAATTATATACTCAGTAGCAGCTTATCACCCCTCAAGTTGACTAGTTTCCAAACCACTTGAATCAATTGAAGAAGTCCAAATTCACTCAAATCATCGCCAACATGTCGGATCGTGTAGCGCAAATCGCATCTCACCTCAACTACCCCAAGGGTATGCTCGCCGGCCAAGTCGCCATCATCACCGGCAGCGGACAGGGTATCGGCGCCGAAGCAGCGCGGCTCTTTGCCAATGAGGGCGCAAAGGTTGTCGTTTCCGACATTGACGGCAGTATGACGTTCCAAAAACCTCCCCCGACGTTCTTAACAACTGACAATTACCAACAGAAAAGGCACAACAAGTCGCAGACAGCATCACCGCCGCAGGCGGCCAAGCCATCAGCGTCCCCGGCGACATGCTCTCAGCAGACTACATCACCACCCTCGTCGCCAAAGCAGCAGAGTTCGGCGGCGGCAAGATCCACCACATTGTCAACAACGCCGGCTACACCTGGGACGGCGTCATCCACAAGATGACGGACAAGCAGTGGGACACCATCATCGCACTGCACTCCACCGCGCCCTTCCGTCTCGTCCGCGCCGCGGCGCCCTACTTCCGCGTCAAGGACGGCGAGAACCGCTGCATCGTCAACATCAGCTCTACCTCGGGCGTTCACGGCAACGCAGGCCAGGCGAATTACGCCATGGCCAAGGCCGGTGTTACGGGCTTGACCAAGACGATTGCCAAGGAGTGGGGGCCTGCGTTTGGCGTGAGGGCGAATACTGTGGCCTTTGGGTTCATCAAGACGCGGTTGACGGATGCCAAGGAGAAGGGTGCGTTTATTACCGGGCCGGACGGCGAGAGGATTGCGCTGGGGATCCCGGGGGCGCAGAAGGGGCCCGAGGCGGATGCACATGCTGATATTCCCTTGCGGAGGCCTGGCTCGCCGACTGAGGCAGCTTCCGCGGTACTTGCTGTTGTCAGTCCGCTGTTCAGCTATGTGAGCGGTCAGACGATCATGGTGACTGGTGGTCGAAACATGTGAAGAGTTGCGTCTGGAGTGGATGTAGTCAGTTATCTCAGGGCGGATGGAGGCCCCCTCACATGACTGAACAAAACTGTAGATTTCATGCGATTTGTTCATAATTAGGTATCGGTACTTTGGATTCCCGTCGTCCCCCAACGCCCAATTCATGCCAAATGTGTCCAGCAGCAAACAAAAACTCTCGGTATCGTATCACCTCTATTTTCTCTTCCATTCCCTTTTTCATGTTCGTTCTTCCAAAGGAGGCTGGCTCCCTTAGACCTTGGCCCACAACGACAACACACCCTTGGCGTACTCAACAATCTCGTCACCACCAAGCTTGCTGTCGCCGTAGACGCGGTCGACAAAGGTGATGGGCACCTCAGCGACAGAGCACCCCATAGCCTTGGCGCGAACCATCATCTCCATCTGGAACGTGTAACCCTTGCTCTCGGTGCTCGAAATGACCTTGTCGAGGACGCTCTTCTTGTAGAGGCGGAAGCTGCCCGTCAGATCGCTGACGCCGGGGCGCAGGACGGTGTCGGCGAAGAGGTTGGCGCCGCGGGAGACGAACTTGCGCTTCAGGTCCCAGCCGTAGACGCCGCCGTTGCCGGCGTAGCGGGTGCCCGTGACGATGTCGTAGTTGCCCTCCTTTTGGCGGGCGACCATCTGGGGGATGAACTTGGGGTGGTGGGAGAAGTCGGCGTCCATGATGATGACGAAGTTGCCGTTGACGAACTGCAGGCCGTGAACGTAGGCGGTGCCGAGGCCCAGCTTGCCGGTGCGGGTTTTGAGGACGATGTGCGGGGCGTAGGCCTTGACGAGCTGGTTGGCGACTTCTTGGGTGCCATCGGGGGAACCGTCGTCGACGATGATGAGTTCCCAGTCGAGCTTGCTGTTGGAAAGGGTAGGATCGTTAGTAGATGGTATGACGAGGGGCAGAGGGATGTGAAGGGAAGAGAGTCGTGGTATGGGAGAAGGGATTGCGACTTACTGCTGGGTGAAGGTGCGGTTCAGCAACCAGGCGACAATGGGCAGGTTGCGACGCTCATTGTAGGTCGGCAGGATGACCGAGTACTTGTTGGCTGCCATTGTTGCGATCGGAGAAAACTATCGGTATCAAAGAAAGGGGGAAATCGAAGAGAATAGAGACACAAAAAGTCGAGTTTGGCTTGGCGGAAAGGAGCGTGGTGAAGTTGGCTGCGCGTGTTGAAGCTTCACGGCGATGAATGCTGTGTGTCCTTTGGCGGTGGAATGCCATTTGGCACATTGAGTGGTCGATGACTAAGCTTGGCCTAGCCCCTGAAATCTAGGGGGGAACCACAGGGCGGGAACACTGGAGCACCAGATATCACCACCTGGCACCACTGCACCTCAAGGTAGCTTCTATGTTTCTTACCTTAGTTGCCAATAAAACTTGCAATTGTTTTCACGAGCGGACCATGCAAGTCAATCATGACGAAGTTAAAGCACAAGAATCGTGAATTTTCTAGGCGATATTGCTTTGCTCAAGTCTGGACAGCTTGTCGGGCACAACATAAGGTACCTAAATACCTACCTTGCCCAAGCTTCTTGCCTGAATAGGTTGGACCAAAACTTCAAAATCTTGACAAGCACCTTACGGAAGGACCCATCCATGAGATACCTACCTTTCCTAAGGTAAACTAGGTGACTTATGAGGCAGCCACTCCTATGAAAGCGAACCATGATGGAAAAGATCACTCTTTAAATTGACTGTTTACGATTCAGTCCGTAAAACGTTGGTTCCTACACCCAAGGAACGAATGATATTTGCTGTCATTACGAGGAACTCTTCAATACCATCCATCCAAAAGCTCCCAAAGTTGCTAATAAGCCCCGTCTTTGCAAGTATTGTATGAGGAAAGCGGAGGCTTTTCTATAGAACAGAGGCAAGTCTTACCAACCTGTTGCACCCCAGGTAGGGACCACAAGCACAATTGAAGATATGGCATATGACAATAGCAACTTCATTTTGCAAAACACATCTACGGATACGCAACATACTCAGCCAGCCCTGCACCTCTCATGAGCTTTCCGGGGTAAACAAGTGATCACAGATGGCGTGCAGCTTGCCCGGAAAGCTCAGACGTGGTTCTTTCCTCGATGAGCGCTGATTGGCTGACGTAATGTCGGTTGGCTCAGGGTGGAGATGATGCTCTGCCCTCGAGGCCAATCATTGGCCCTTCCCCGCATCCGCCTTGCTGCATCACCGCGACGCTGCAGTTCTGCCCTGGCAAGCGTCGCCCGCCAGCCAGGAATCGATCGCATCCCATCGGGGACTGAAGAGAGAGCTTCGCTTCCTTTGTACAGTGTATGGCTTTTGGAAATACACGGTCAGCTTGATTTGACCGACCATCTTCCAGTCTCGGCGTTACAAGACGTTGAGACGGACCTGCAACACCGTCTTCTCAGCGCCGAAAAGCTCTGTGCCTCTGTCACATATGTATGCGGTCTCTCGCATTCGATAAACCACTCATCAGATGCCGTTGAACGGTATCAATGGCAGCACATGGAAGACCGTTAAACTCCAGTCGTGCGTCTTGCGCTGCTCTCATCGGCGTCTGCTCGCCTCAGCAGACTCGACCTAAAAGACCCAGTCGTGCCAGTTTGCCAGCTCGATCAGCTCACTAGGCCTTTCTCGGATTAACCGGATCTTAACCGGGTCTTAGTTCCCTCTCGCCAGCCCTGTAACATCCCAAGATCGCCAGGTTTGGCCCATCGGCATCCGTGGAGCTTCCAGTCACGTCAGATTGACATGACGGTCCAAGGTTCCTCTCCACCCAATGTACCGCGAGGGGAACCTTGCTCGTACCGGCCATCTCCTTGCAAGCTCACAGCTTCACTCTCGCTGCTCGAGGTCCGCTCCTTGCTTTGCAAAGGTAGAGCTACGGGTCAGCACAGCACAGCGCGCGCACACACACACACACCTCCTCGCTCCTCGCAGCACGGAAGCTGTGAGGCAATGGCTGAGGCAATAGCAATGGCGTGTTCCGAGCCCGCCCTTTCCGCTGCTGATTCGTCCCGTCCCTCGTGGAACCAGGAGCGATAGGTTTCCCCCCCCTCCCAGTGCCTCCTACCTCCCAAACCCATGTCTCTGTGCGATGACTTGCTGTGTGGTTGCAGCAAGGCCCAGCCGGTGAGGTGAGGAGGAGCTCTGCCGAGTCCCATGCTCCGACGCCAACCTCACCTCTTCTTCCCTCTTCCTTTCGTCTTTCCTCCAACCATAAACTTCATCCTCTATTCTTCAGCTTTCTCATCTCCAATCGGCCTCATCACAGCCCTTTCCATCCTCTACTACTCTCATCCTTCCTCGAACTCGGCCATTGAGCCCATTTCCCATCACCGACTGCCACATCTCCAATCGCGCACTGTGCGCCCACCGGACAGCCGTTACGTCATCGCAATGGACCCGAATCCCGTTCCTGGAGCTGTCCCAGCCGCAGCTGGCATCGACAAAGGTGAGTAAGAGATGTCGTGAAGCTTCCATCGGTGTCGCGTCGCCTTTGTACAGCGGCGCTGATGTTTGCGCCCTGTGTTGGCCCATCGCCTCTCGGTGTGCGGGCGCATCACGTCTCCCCATCGCCGCGCATATACTCCCGCTCGGACCTTCTCGCGCTGACATTTTTTCCCTTGTACAGCTCCCGAGACTGTCGCAACCACCACCGCCATCACCGCCGCGGATGAGAAGCCCACAGAAACTGTAGCTTCGGAGACGAAGCCAGTCGAGGAGAAGAAGGACGAGGTCGCACCAGTCCCAGAGACATCAGCTACTGAGGCTGCCGAGCCCGCCAAGCTGGCGGACCCTCCTGCGCTGGCCCCACCGGCCGATGCGCCAGCTGCACCAGCTCCCGCCGAAGGTACCGCCGATGCGCCCAAGCCGGCCTCCGTCGAGGAAATTCCCGACAAAGACGGGCCCGTTGCGACGACGGGAACCGAGGAGCCCAAGGCCATCCCCGCTGAACAGCCTGCTGAGAAGCCGGCCGCAACCTCTGCACCCGTCACCGAGCCTGTCAAGGAATCTGTCGAAGAGCCTATTCCGCAACAGACACTCAAGGCGCCAGCGGTCGAGGAAGAGGCAGTCAAGGAACCAATCATTGAGAAGCCTGAAGCCGCCAATGGTGCTGCGACCAAGGATGTCGAGATGACCGGTGCCCTCAACGACGCCGAGCCTACCGGTGCCGGAGAGCGCGAGGCCGCGCCGCAGGCCAAGACGAGCAACAAGCGCAAGGCGGATGAGCTAACCGAAACCAATGGTACCAACGGAACCAACGGCACCAATGGCGTTGAGGCTGTTGAGGCTGCTCCGGAAGAAAAGCCCGCAGAGAAGAAGGCCAAGAGGGGCCCTGGCCGACCCCCTTCAAACGGCGCTGCGAAGCAAGTCAAGGAGAGTCCCAAGAAGGAGAAAGAGTCTTTCGGTCATAAGGTTGCCACCAAGGTCAAGAAGGTTCTGCACTCGCCCGGTCAAACTCAGCGTAAGACTCGCTCTCAAGGCCCCGTCTAAGCGGGCCACGCGGTGAGCCTGATGCTTCTGAGGCACGTACCCGTATCGCCTCGGATTTTCTTCAATGTCAATTTAGGGTCCCATGGACTACTCTAGCAACAACGAGACCATGATGGTCGAGGCGGCTTGGATTCGGACCAGCCGGGCGGGCGTCTCTCTTTTCACCCCGCGGATTTATGATGGGTAGGCAAAAAGGAGGCGCGGGTTTTTGTTTCTGTTTTAGTCTCTTTGTTGTAGTTCAGGTCGACTTCTTATCGACACTGAGTGGTGGGAAACTAGGATACTGTATATACTAGGACGTTTGCACATGCAGCTTACCAGTCTTGTCGTGGTCACTCTGATGCAACGTGTTGAAGGAGAGCAATGCCGAGGAACGATTCGACTTGGAAACACGGGCAGTCGAGAATTGTGAGGCAACTACTACATCAACCAAGGAGTTTCAGCCTTTACGTCCCGTACTCTTACTCCGGGGATGCTGTCTTGATTCTGAATGCCTCGTGCAAGTCATGATACTGTTGTTCCACGTGTCTCAACATATGAAAGCACAATACAGAGGTCGAAAGTCTAGCTACAGCATCGAACAGCCACGCAGCCCATCTGGCCATCACCTACCAATTAGAGTACAAG